GGGACTGGGATAGCACAAGGACCGGGGCAGTGCAGGGACCGGGGCAGTTCAGGGACCGGGACAGCGCAGGGACCGGGACAGTGCAGGGACCGGGGCAGTTCAGGGACTGGCGGGTCGCGGCCGTTCCGGCGCTCGGTGTAACGCGGGCGGATCTGTCGGGAGTGTCCCGAACTCGGTGTGCAGGGAAGGTTCTGAGCTCCCCGGTAACTGGGCTCTCCGGTCCCCGCCGCTCCGAGCGGTGGCTCTGGGAGCGATGGATGCCCCGTGTCCCTGCAGCTCCCTGGGATCGCTCCCATCTCCGGGCGGTCACATCTCCCCGCAGCAGCAACTCCGGGACAGGGAGGACAATTCGGGAGCAGCCCGAGCACCTCTTGCTCCTGCCGGGCTCGGGGCCACCCGTGTGCCAGGGCCTCGCATTCCAAGGAGGGAGGGGAGGGGACTCTGGGAAGGAAAATCATCGTGTTGGCACAATTATTGCAGCCTGGGCAGGACTTCAGGAGTTTTGTGTCTTTCTTCTCCATAAGCACAGGCCGGCAGAGGCTGAGGGGCAGCGAGTTTAGGCAATCATTCTGGGTACATTGTACTTGTCATCCTGAAAAATAATTTCTTGCTTTGCTGTTGAAGGCAGTGCTAAGGAAACTTGGCAGTTAATAATTGTTATCAGGTGAATTCTTGTGGTATTGTGTTAGAAGAGGACAGGGTCCAGCATACTCTAAAAATTTAGGAAACGTGGAAGACACCAAATCTCCTCAGCTCAAGAGAGACATGGAGCTCCTGGAGCAGGTCCAGTGGAGGCTACGAGGAAGATTAAGGGACTGGAGCATTTCTTACACATAATCCACTATCAGCCACTCTTCTTCCCCGGGGATCCCTGCCATTTTGTCAGAAGGAATGAGGCCATTGGGGTCCACTCACGTGTGACCCACCTGTCACTGGACCTGCTGCCCTGGTTTCTGTGGGGCTTGGGGGTGGAACAGTAAAGTTCAGTGTGTGGTATGTCTAAAAACATACACTATGTTAGTGCAGCGTTACATGTCACTGCACCTGGGATGAAGGAGATTTCTTTCTCACTGGAATATTTTCTAGGCATCCTTGGAGTGCCAGGATTCATTTTGGTTCAGGAAAGCTGTGTAAAGCTCAGGTGTCCTTTAGTCCATGTTCTGCTCCCTCCCCGTGCAGCTGGGACATGGGCTCTGCCCTTGTCTCAATCCTGTTTCTGTTTTGGGGTTTCCCCCTGTGCAGTGACAGAGGTTCAGCAGGTGAACAGTGCTGTGCTTGGGACATTTTGGAAGGTCCAGGGCCTGTGCTCAGACAGGAGCTCAGAATAAGCTGCTGACCCAGAGTGGTTCAGATCTTGTCCTTAGGGGTCAGGTCTCGGCTGTAGGGGAGAATAATCTCCAAAATGATTCCGTGAAGAAGTGATAATTCAGCTCTAACCATCAGGCCAATCTCAGCTCAGGGAGCAGAGAGTCAAACGTGTCCCTCCCATCAGTTTAACCTTCCCCTGGCTGTAACAAACACACTGAGCTTAGAGGAGGAGGGAGAACAATGGGAAGATTTTGTGTGGTTTGAAGGAGAGAGGCTGTTACCCAAAATATTTCCCTGTTGTCCCAGCCCTGTGAAATGCTGACACCCAGAGAGTCAAATAAAGGCAGAAAAACGAGCTCTCAGCAGCAATCATCCCAACCCAAGTGACAGCCTCCCCTGTTAGCTGGAGTCATTGGAGTTATTGGGGAAAATGTAAAGTGCAAGTCTTTGCATATTTAACGTGTCTCTCAATTTTTGTTTCTGATTCCCAGATCTATTATAAAGTTATTAAAGAAATTGAGCCAGGAGAAGAGCTCTTGGTGTGTTTGAAGGAAGGTGGTTATTCCCTTGGGAACATGGCGCCCAGCATGGAAGGTAAGGCCTCCAGAGGACCTTCTGCACCTCTCTGCAGCACACCCAGGAACACTGAGAGCCTCAGTGAGAGCTGAGCTGGGACAAAACCTGATCCAGTACCTCCCCCTTCTGTTGCTGTTGGGATTTTATGCTCATTTCCACTCTTTCCCTGGTGGGAGTGACTGTCTAAGTCCACGATGGTCTTTATTAAACTCAAGACATGCAGCAGACTAATTTTCCCCTTCCCTGTGAGGAACATCGTGGTTTTGAATATGAATGGAGGTGCCTTTTCCACCCCCAGGGTCACCGTGTTTCTTTAGGTGTAATAAAAATGGGCCCAACCTTTCCAAGGCTTGGAAAACAGCAGAGCTTTAGAGTACCTGGAAAAGGGGGATCCAGGCAGAGGGTGGAAGAGTCATCCCTAGAATTATTATTGCTGGGATATCGACACCTCACCTGCTCTTGCACAGTCCACTAATTTCTATAAATATACTCTCATTTACCATCTGTGTTTAAACTATTAGTTGGAAATACTGTTCTATACAATTAATCACTGAAATCTGAGTTCTCTCACGTGGGCTTGTCACAGTGCATTTATGTTCTCTTACCTGCATATGAATATAATTTCAGATTCAAATTTGCAGTGAAATCCTTTAAGAGTGTGCATAGGATGTGCGCAGTTAGTTTCAAATATTTCTGGAGAACAGGATAGTTTGAGGATTTGTGCTGCTGGAAGCTCGTTTGCTGAAGGGCTGGGGGTGAAATGTGGTAGCTGCTGCCTCACTCATGTCAAATTCGGGATTATTTTTTTACTGTTCTCCCCCCCGAAAAGTTAATAATTTTCTCGAGGCCGACACACAGAGATGAATAATTTCTGTACCCTTTTTTTGATGTCAGGGAGAAATCAGAATGAAAACTCACCGCTGTTCTGCATTTCAGTTTCTAGCAGGCTTTTATGTGAACAAGCAAAAAGTGCTCCTTGTTTTCCATCTCTGTCATTATGGAACATTTATCTGTGTCTTCCTGGTAACGTCTAGTGCTTTTGCCGCATAATTGCTGTCAAATTACGCCAGGCCAACATTAAATATTTGACTCCTTAATACTTTTTACTTTCAGCAGGGCTATCTTCCTGCTGCCTCGCAGCCCCAGTTCGCTTCGGAATTAACAGGAAGGAAAATGCAAAATTGTTCCACACAAAGATAATTATCATAAAAATCTTTTCTCCCAACCCCAGCCAAACACAGCAGACCCCTTATCACTGCAGGAATTTTGAGTAGGGCACTTGAACTCCTTTGAGATTCGAGTCTGGTAGATTAGCATGTAGATGCCACATAATTGTGTTCCCCTTGGTTTCTCTGAAAGCTATTAGGCACTGATTTATTTTTCTGTTACATTCCTGCTTTGTCCTGAGTGTTACTGATGGAACTTCAGATAGGCACATATAACCACAGATTTGACAAACAAGACACAGAGAACAGGCAGCAATTTCTCTGTAACTGGGTTGTTCTTTTCTTTTCAGCCCCTTCTCCCTGTCAGACACCAGAGCAGTTACCTTTCTGAAGGGCAGCATTTGCTGTTTTCATTTGTGATGCCTAAAGAAAGGGGAAAACTTTAATGAGAACTTGTTTTGAAGGGCAACCTTTTTATTTTTGGTACTTAAAGAAGGAAAAAAGAAACCCTTTAATGAACCTGGAGTCTGCAAACCGGGTGTCTCGTACAGACACAGAATCGATACCAGGTCTGAGCTCAGCCCTGATTCAGGTTTCAGTTCTGCAGGGGGATGATCTGGCCCTGAGTCTGAGCTCAGTTCCTTTCCCTGCAGGGTATTTATTGAGAAGTCTGGTCTCTAACCTGCTGAAGTTCAGGAGCGGGAATGCCACAGGAATGGGTGTTGGATATGGGTATACCAGCACAGAATTATGGAATGGTTTGGGATGGAGGGGACCTTAAAGTCCATCCAGTGCCACCCCCTGCCATGGGCAGGGACACCTCCCACTAGCCCAGGTTGCTCCAACCTGGCCTTAAACACTTCCAGGGATGGGGCAGCCACAGCTTCTCTGGGCACCCTGTGCCAGGGCCTCCCCACCCTCAGCTGCTCCACCAGTCCATCAGTTCTTCCTCTCCTGAACCTGTCTGAGCATCCAAATAGAATTTACAGCCGGTGGCAACATGAATAACATGGCTTTTAGCCCTATTTTTGCCAGTTCTCTAGTTCTTCTTTCCATGCAAATTTCTTTTTCCCAACCCAGATATTCTGAAGCACATGCACTGCTTTTCCTGTCCTCCATCTTTTCTACCTGAGTCGTGTTTGATCCTCTTGTACTGTGTGTGATTCGGGTGATCTGGCAAAGGAAAAGGAGAATTAGAAGCAAAATCTCTTCTCTGAATTATTATTGGGGCTATTAAAGTATTTCATCTACTTCCCTGCTCTGTGATCTCACAGAAAGGACAAACCTGTGTTGCTGTTGCTCAAAGCAGGCAGAGCTGGGTCAGGTGTGTGCTGGGAGGGGGTGCTGCCAAGTCACCCAGCTTTAGCCAGGGATGGAGGAAATTATTCTCCGTGGATGGTTTTCCAAACTCAGAGAGGATTTCCCCTTCCTAGAGGAGAGCTTGGGTGAAATAAGATGCAATTAATCGTGTAAATCTCAAACTGAAGAAGGAAGAATTTTGTCTGGATTTGCAGAAGGAATTTTGATGCATTTTCTCTGAGGTCAAAAGAAGAAAAAAATTCTGTTTTCTCCGTTCCAAGTGTTTTCATGTCTGGGGAATTGCCAGGGTGAGGTGGAGGGATTCTGGGAGTTCAGCAGGAGCTTTTTGAGGTGAAGGTACCTGGGGGTTCCCAGCCTGGAGGGTTTCAGTAGCTCCTACAAAAAAATCCTCCTGGGTTGAACCACTGCTGTGTTTACAAACAAGTGAGGAGGGGAAACGTTGGCTCTGAGGCAGATGAACACCTTGCCAGAGCATTTCCACGGATCTGGAGTTAGTGAGGGATTTATCCTGTTCCCCACAGTGCAGTGAGTGACACAGCTCCTGTCCCAGGGACATCTCCAGGCAGAGCAGTGGGGTCATGTTTGTTGGTGCCAGTGCCTGCTCTGAGCCCAGAGCTGCACCCTGGGGCAGAGGAGCCCTTGTTCCAGGGCTGACACGGGTTCATCAGTGCTGAGGAGGGCTGGCAGGGTGAGCTCACTGCCTCAGCCCACGGTGTGTGCCTGCAGGACCCCTGGTGCTGTCGGGTTTGTCTCTCCTGACCTGAGTTACAGACACCAAAGGTACCTGGACACACCTTATCCCAGCCCTCACCCCCTCCTTGCTGCCTTCATACCAAGCATGGTTTTGGTCTGTAAACATGTGCAGATGAAATACTGAGTTTTGCTCAGTAATGTTGTGTTTCGTGCTGTTGTTACAAGTAAAATGCAATAACAAGACATAACATGATACTGGACTTTTTTTTCCTTCTTTTTTACTTTTCCCTCACAGTAATAATTTGGATTAATTTAATGCTACTTTATCCTCAGCCTCTCGGTACTGCTGGTTTTTATGTCCTGTTTTTTCCACGTTTTCCTTCCCAGGGACATAAAACACATGAGTTACATGTTGATACTTTTCTGCAAAATGCCAGTAAAGGGAAATTCTCTAAGGAGCAGAGCAGGGCCTGACCCACTCCACGGTGAGGCTGCTGATAGCAATTTCAGAGAATATAATCTGTCAAAATCAGCAGAAATGGGAAAGATTGGGTATTTCTTTTTCCCCCTAGGTCTCCTTTTTTCAGTCAAAATCCCCCTTCCTCCCCAAAGCAAAATGTTGACCCGCTGGATTTCGTTTCTTTTTCACATCCCTCTTTCCTGCAGTTCAGGAAATGCTGGTGCATCCCTGTGGCTGCTGTAGGATTGTTGGTGCCCTGTGTGAATGGGTCTGGCACCCCTGGCCAGGCTGCTGGGATTCCCAGGGGGCTGCACTGGCCCTGCCTCGGTGATACTTTCTTTTTCAGCCGTGTTTGACTTTTCCCACGTCGATATTTTCTGTGTAGGTGTGCAAAGTGTTGGGTTTCCTCTGCCCACGTCGCTGCTGTAGCAGCTTCTGGAACCATGTCTTGCTCAGTTTTAAGCTCAGGTTTAAATAGGCTGTGTGGGGAGAAAGGGAGATGGGAGCTGAGTACCCGAGTGCGGGTGGGGACGTGGTGACCCCCGGGTGTGACACTGCCCGTGCTTCTGCTCCTGGCACACTTACAACAAAATTAACCCTGATTTATATAAAACACCATTCCAGGCCCTAAAGCTCAGCCTAAGTGGTTGCAAATGTGCAAAATTTGGGGTGAACAACTGCAAGGGGGACTTCAAAGCAAGGGTTTGCTCAGAGGTTACAGATTTTGAATATGGGTCGTGGCTGCAGAGCAGCCCCAAAAACCAGAGTGTGGCCACTTCCCACCCTGAGAGCAGGGGATGGATCAGCTCCATCCCAGCATCAGCCTTTGGCTGCATCTCTCAGAATATTCCCACTCTTCCCTTTGAGCTTATGCACTTACCACAAGCTTTCCTTTTGAAAGTAAAGTGATCAGAAGAAGGGAACGAGGCTTAATGGGAAGCAGAGGACGAGGGGAGAGCAGGACAGGGAAACGCGGCACCAGTGACTCAGTGGGGGCTGGAAAGCTTCTGTTTCAGGGTGGAGAAACCCGGAGCTATCCTGACTCCCTCGCAGAGGTTGTTCTCCTGGAAAATTTACAGCTCAGAGCTGATTGTTTGGCTTGGCACTATGGTCAGGATGCTGCCTTGTAAACTTAATAATAGCTGCCCTCTTTTTAATTTGTTTGACCTTGACTACAGTAATTTATTATGTGCATTAGAACTTTTTTTTTTTTTTAAAGAAGAAAAAGCAAAGAGCACAGCAACAAAGCCTTTGGCTCCCTGCTCTTCCTTCCACGGTGCTCTGGGTTTGTCTCCTCGGGCTGATGATGCCCTGAGCTCTCACAGTTGTGAGGGAGGAGTTGAGGGGAGAACATTAGACAGACAATTTCTTAGAAAGGAGCTTCTCCAGGTTTGTGCTGTGGCAGTTTTGCTTTTCCCAGTATCTGTGTTTATGTGAGTCTGGGTTGTTCCTTTTTCCCTGGCAGCCCCTTTTGAGGAAAATCTCATCCACATTTTCGAAGACCCTCCTTGCAGGCAGCTCAACACTCCACAACAACCCAGTATTTTGTGTGTCTACCAGTTCTTGTAGGTCTCTCTGTCTCTGCAAAGGCCAGGACACAAAGAAAACAAGATCTCCTCTGGTTGTGTGATCTACATTTTTTTTCTTAATGCTTAAAGTGAAAGCAGCTGCTGGCACAGCCTCCCTTGGGTTCTCTCTCCCCTCACTTGCAGATTTGCTCTTTGTTTGTTTGCCGGATGCTCACAGAATTTTGCCTTCTCTTTAGTGTTGGGTAAAATAATCCAGCCTGGTGGAACTCGGTGCCCCAGGAGTGCCAACCCCCTGTGTGTTGTTGCAGAGGAGCCCTCGTTCCGCTGTGAGGACTGTGATGAGCTCTTCCAGTCCAAGCTCGACCTGCGGCGGCACAAGAAGTTCGGCTGCAGCGCCGTCAGCTCCCTCTACGAGACCCTCAATGACGAGATCAAGCAGGAAGGTCTTGGAGATGGACAGGCCTATGAGTGCAAAGACTGTGAGAGGATGTTCCCCAATAAATACAGGTACCCAAAAAGTGCCAGACCCTCCTCTGGCCTCCCCTCTCCCTTCTCCTTCACCGGCCTGTCCGAGGATGGAGACGCGGGACCGAGGGGGGAGCTGGGCAGCCTGGGATGGCTGCAGGGATAAACCTTTCCTTTCTCCATGGGGCTAGGGAGTGTTCATTTTGGGATCCTGCAGTGCCCATTAGCTGTGGGGCAGTGTTTTATTTCACCCTGATTTCATAGACTGATGCTTTTCCTTACTTGTTAGGGGAGGCACCCACAGACTGTTGATGTGAACTTTAAATGGTTGTTTTCTGGGTTCCCTGTGGCTCCTTCAGGGCTGTGACAGAGCTTGAGAGACCTGGTTCTGGGATCTTTGCACCATCTGCTCCCATGTGCTCTGGTTCTGAGGGAAAACAGTGGAATTAGTTCTGCCAGCATGTGCATGAAGGCTCTCTGTAGGTAACTCTTGGTCACTGGAGATCAGTGGGTTTAAAGAGGCATCGTTACCCTGAGATCTCTGAACACGGCCATGAGCTCCTGTTTGATCTTGCAGAAGCAATTAAAAGATTCTATTCCAATCAAATGTTTGGTTTCGTTTGTGTTCACCAAGCATTTTTGTAATAGAAATGTGAAAAGGAAAAAAAGGAATATCGGATATTCTCCAGTTTATGGTTTACTTGCCATAATTATTCAGTTATTATTACAATAAGGCAACTCTAAACAAGGATTAATTTTTTTTTAAAACAGGAAAAACTTTTGGGGCCTCTGAGTTTTAACTGAAAATTTGCATCTTTTAAGCATAATGTGGTAGTAATCAAAAGCAGGTTTTTAAGAGATCTTTGAGACTTTTTGATTCATTGGCAAGGTGAGACACAAACGGTAAAACATTAGGGGCCAGCTTTAAAAAGTTGAGGGGCTTTTTTAATCATTTTAAGATTGTGTTTATTTGCATCCTAAGCCTTTATAAAAGCCTTTATAAAATTCTATAAAACCAGAGTTTTCTCTGTTTACCGGAGGCTGAAGTTCTCACATTCTCATTTCTTTTGACTCCTGAGATGAACGAACCCCGCGCACCACGAGGTTTGTCATAAACTGTGAGAACTGGCAATCCCCTGTCAGGCACTGCATGAACAGAGCAAAAACCTCGGGGTTAAAGCCAATGTAAGGCCTGTTTCACTTCAGCTGAACATTTAAAAACATGCATTTGTCACTTTGAACTTAATTATGTTGAGACTTTCAGATCTTTGATCTGGGCGAGTGAGGAAAAAAATCTATTTTAAAAAACTCAGAGAACAATGAAGTGTAAAGAGCATTCCCTGATGCATCTGCATCCAACAGGGCTTGGCTGGGCTGTGGGAGGTGTAAAAGTTGGGGATAGATACTGTGATACCTGTCTGGGGTCCTGTTAGCCCAGTGGGTGTCTTTGTCCCTCACCTTGTGTCTCTACATTGACCACTTTCCATTAGACAATGAGAGTGCAATTTTCTTATTTTTTTTTACCTGAAAAGACAAGGAGAACTCCCTTTAAATGTTTTCAGTGTGTTTCATTTTTTTTTTTGGTGGGCAGCATCCCCATTCAGTGTGTGACACGCTGCTGGATTAGTGGGGCTGGGAGGGAATGTCCACATCTGTCTCTCCCCCATCAATCTGCCACATTTAAGACCACTAAAACACACAATATACCCACTCAGTGTGCCTAGATGGTCTTAGAATTTTTCAGAAGTTAATACAGATCAAATCAAGAGTGCCACTGGGGACCTGAAATTGAGCATTTAGCAGCTGACTAAATAAATAAATGTTTTGCTAATCCCAGTAGGTACTTGCCTCTAAACAGTATATTAGTTTGTCTATATTTGCTGTAAATAAACTCATAAATCACAGTTAAAAGGAGTGTATTTTTGGATGTGTATATGCAAGGTTTATGTTACTTTGGATGTGTAGAAAATCTGGTAGTTTTAAGAACACCATTTCTTCAGCAAAATTAATATTGCTTCTTTAAAATGAGTGGATTGGCAGTTTATAAGAGGCATGTCCATGAATATTAACTACCTGGCTGGAAGCAGGGGAGGTTCTCCAGGGGAGCAGGGGGCTGGTGGCTGCAGAGGTTTGGGTGGAGAGTGGCCAGGCTGGTTGCAGTCCCCAGACTCACTCGTGATGAACCACTTTGCACAGTGTTGCCGCCATCTCAGGGCACAGAGAGTTCAGTGCAGGGCAGTTTTGGGTGGAATTACCCTTTGCTCTGGGAATTTCCAAGGACACCAGATCCATTCTGCCCCACCTGAGTGCAGCCAGGGGCTGGACTGAGAATGGTCACAGCCTCTGAGGAGAGTGAGGGCAGTGGAGTCCTGAGCATGTGCCAAGGCTGAGATGACTCCTGGGTACCCAGGGGGTGTCTTCCTTGTGGCATTTAATGCAGACTGGCAGGATTTCCCAGTAGTGTTTAGCTTTAATGCTCCTATAAAAATGTAGCCATGCTTTCAAGTTCCATAGGAATGATTTAATATCCATCTGTAGGGATTTCAGGCAGGAGGAGATTTCATGTGAGCTGGTCCTTCCTCAGAATTCACAGTAAGGGGAGTGTTTGTAGCTCCTGTTAAACTACCCCGAAAGAAGCAAAGGGTGCAAATTTTCTTCCCTTATTTCTCAGGGCTGGCCCAAGAGGTGCAGAATTCCTGGCCTGAGGGGTGAAGGATTTCTGGCCAGAGAGGTGCAGAGTTTTTGGCCCGAGAGGTGCAGGATTCCTGGCTGGAGATGCAGGACTTTTGGCCTGAGAGGTGCAGGATTTTTGGCCAGAGAGCCACAGGATTCCTGGCCAGGGAGGTGCAGGTTTCCCATGGCACAGGGAGAACAGAGCACCGTGTGCCATCCCTGCCATGGCCCTGTGCCAGCAGCCACTTGGCATTGCCACCATCCCCCTGGTTCTGGAGGCACTGCCAGTTGGTAGAAGGCAAAATTGCTGAGTTGAGTCATCAAAGATGTCTGACATTTAGAAGTGAAATGTGTTTGCACCTTATCATGTTTCTTCCCAATGCTGGATCTCTCTGTTCTGGGAAGCCTTGGGCCTGGTGCCCATGAAAAGGCAATGTGAGAGTCCCAGCAGCAGCAGGGAATATCTTGTCTTTCCCTGGGGGATACCACAGGAGTCTGGGTCAAAAAGTGCCCATTTTTCCCCTCATCAACCTGCAGGGTCAGAGCTGGGTTTGCCTTCCTTTCCCCCCTGCAAATGGACTCAAGTATTAATCAGAAATACCATAAGATACAGTGACATTTTGAGGTAGAACAGGGCAGCTTCCATCAGTGAAATAAATGCTAAAAGGTTCATGGTGTTTGGTGCCACTGCCCCTCTCATGGTCCATGAGCTGCCCCCCTCCTACTCTGAGGCACCAGGTAACTCTGCAAACACCCCACAGGCTGGTTCTCTGTCACCCTCCCTGTCACCTCTCTGCTCTCAGTCCTGCCAGGTGACAGCCCCTGCCTTGGCAGTGGGTGCCCAGGGCTGGGCTCTGGCCACTGCCCCAGGTGAGCCCTTCTCTCTCCCCCAGCCTGGAGCAGCACATGGTGATCCACACGGAGGAGAGGGAGTACAAGTGTGACCAGTGTCCCAAGGCTTTCAACTGGAAATCCAACCTGATTCGTCACCAAATGTCTCATGACAGTGGGAAACGGTTTGAATGTGAAAACTGTGTAAAGGTACAGTGGGGACACAGGGCACTGGGGGGGGCTTCACCTGGGACAGGACCCTGGGAAGGGGATGCAGGTGATGGGTGGCCCGTGCTGGTCCCAGGCAGGGCAATGTGGGGAGAGGTGCCCCTGCTGTCCCCAGCACAGGGAGAAGGGGTGTCCTCACTGTCCTGGGCATCCCACTGAGGGGGTGCAGCTCAGCCCTGCCCCAACCCACTCCCCTTTGGCCATTTCCCAGGTACTGGAATGGCAGATGTGGGTGGGCAAACACCTCTCAAACCACCAGCATCCCACACTGAGGGAGGTGCCACAGCCTGGCAGGGCACCCACAGCCCTGACCCGTGTCTCGAGAGTCTGTGACCAAAAAAACCGGCCCAAAATGTCAAGTTTTTCACACATATTCTCTTCTCCCCCTGCTCCCGGGGTGTGTCCCGCAGGTGTTTACGGACCCCAGCAACCTCCAGCGGCACATCCGCTCCCAGCACGTGGGGGCTCGAGCCCACGCCTGCCCCGACTGCGGCAAGACCTTCGCCACCTCCTCGGGCCTCAAGCAGCACAAGCACATCCACAGCACTGTCAAACCTTTCATATGTAAGTTGTCCCGGCCATCCCAGGCTGTAATTGCAGGTATCCTGCGGGGCCTGCTGTGATTTCAGAGCTCGGAGCTGCTCCAGATGAAATTCCCCTGGGATTTCTTTTTTTTTTTTTTGGTGTGTGCTCCCTGTTCTTTCAGTAAACACTGGTGGCAGTTTTTGACTTTCTTTAGGAGTTAGGAGCTGAGTCTCTCAGTGGTCCCAGCGATGCCATCTTCTCATATCTTTTCTCTCTCTCATCTTTTTTTGCCTTGGTAATTTTCGAATGTTCCTGTTGGTGACATGGCCTGGTTGAAATGTTTTTCGGGGATGCCTCAAATCCATTGTAAAGAACTTGGAGTAGTCACAGAGACTGAGAAGGTGTTTTTTAAAACGAGGGTTTTTTTCTTCTTTATTTACTGCATGTTTCATCTAGATAGTGCTGGAAGCCAAATAAACAGCAGATTAACTGTGTCCTCAGTGCTCTCCTTAGCGGGATATTTCCAGAAGGGCATTTTCCTTGGAGAGTCATCCATCTCATTCCTTGTCATTCCCAGGGTTGTATATTTTTTTTAATTGACACAGCACCTATTGGGTTTGGATGACTGAGCAGGAAGGTGGTTGTGTCACAACAAAGCTCCAGGAACTTCAGGGATCACTTCCTGACACTTCAGAACACGTCGTTCAGGCACAGGCCGGGATCTGGGTTTGATTCCAGGCTTTGATGTTGGGGTAGGGAAGGCACTGAACCCACTGCTGCCTTTTTCCCCTGTTCTGTAATGGGAACAGCATGCAGGGGTGTCCTGGGAGACCCAGTTCATTAAATTGTCCTGCAGTAACCAGCCGGGTGTCAGCGGAGGAAGAAGAAATGCTCTTCTTGCTCATTTTGCTGCCACCTCTCATTGGGGGACGGGCACATGAAAGGGATGATTTGACTCAGGATTGCTGCAGCAGATGAGGGATTTCTCCCCATAATCTCCTCACTCTCACCTCATCAGAATTAGGGAGTTGTCAGGCCAGGTCAGTGTGTGAAACAACTGGAGGGTGATCCTGCCTGGGCAGAGATGCCAGGGGGAGTCACGGGATCAATGTGGAACCCATTAGTAACTTCAGCTCCACGGGGCAGGATCCACCAGGGAGTTTTTCTTTCCCATTCAGTGGAAGAAAAGGGTTTGTGTGAGTGTTTGTTTGGGTTTTTACCATGTTATATCTGGCTTTAAAAAGACCCCAAACCTGTAACATTTTAACTGCAGAACTCAGAAGGGTGAGAGAGGACATTTCACAAGGAGTTAATAAATCGTTGTACAGCTGGAGATTTAACAGGTATTCTCCAGTTTTCCCTATTTTTTAGGGAATTTTGTGCACTATTGTATATATCTAGCAAAAATTCCTGGCGTGAAAAATGGAAGAATCATGAAATCATAGAATTGTTACAGTTGGAAAAACCCTCTAAGACCATCAAGTCCAGCCTTTAACCCAGCACAGTGTTCACCACTAAACCATGTCCCCAGAACAATTGAACAATTCCAGAAAGACAGTTCAGATTAAATTTCCAGTGTAATCAGAAACCAGCCTCTTTAGTGACAGTCCACTGGATTTTGGACTGAAATGTCAAATTTGTTAAATTTTATTAATCTCTGCTTTGAACTTCAACTGAAATTTATTTATATTATTATGTTTTCAGAGCTGCTGGTGAAACAACTCTGTCACCAGTCATTTGATAGTCAAGCACTGATAGAAATCCTAAAAATTTAGAAAAAAAAACCAGGGAAAATCATGCTCTCTTTTACCTGTCAGTAAAGCTGGGAGGGAGGGAGGGGGGAAGGAGAACGTAGTTGGTCCCTGAGTTGTAGGACTGGGTGTCAGGAGAGCTGGGATTCGTGTCCTTGCCTGCCCAACTCCAAACAACATCCTCCCCCCTCTTTGTCTCCGTTTCCACGCTCACAAAGGGTGATAACAGCAGTTCTCCGGTGGAAGGAGCGTGTTCCTTCACCACCACACGGGATTTATTCCTCTGTTGAAAGAGGCACCAGATCATGAAAAGTTACAGTGTTTTGATGTACAGAAGAGTTTGGGTGGGAATTTTGTCTCACTTTGCCCCGCTCCTCCCACACCAGCAAAGTCTGTAGGGGAAAGGGGTCATAAAAATCCACGCTTTGAAAGCTTGGTATTTGCAGGGTGTTAAAGGGAATGCTGATGTAGCTTCACTTGGGAATTTAAGTTGGATATTAGGAAGAAATCCTTCCCTGTGAGGGTGGGGAGGCCCTGGCACAGGCTACCCAGAGAAGCTGTGGCTGCCCCTGGATCCCTGGAAGTGTCCAAGGCCAGGTTAGAGGGGGCTTGGAGCAACCTGGGCTGGTGGAAGGTGTCCCTGCCCATGGCAGGGGGATGGGACTGGATGAGCTTTAAGGTCCCCTCCAACCCAAACCATTCTGAGATTCCACGATCATCTTTACTGAAAATTCCCCAAAAATTTGATCAGGAGTAGCACATCCCCTCAGGTTTCTGTGGAGCTGCTTGCTGAGACGATCCCTAGGACGGGATTTATCCCATGTGGGCTCCCTCGGCTGCTCTGACCGCCCCGGCTCCGAGGAAAGGGGATCCCGGGGTGGGGGAGGCTGGGGGAGTTCCTGGTGAGCCCGGAGCCATTTCCTGGTAATTTCATATCGCTTTTGTTGTTGGTTCCTGTTGACGCTTTAGGTGAGGTCTGTCACAAATCCTACACGCAGTTCTCCAACCTGTGCCGCCACAAGCGGATGCACGCGGACTGCCGCACGCAGATCAAGTGCAAGGACTGCGGGCAGATGTTCAGCACTACCTCCTCCCTCAACAAGCACCGCCGCTTCTGCGAGGGCAAGAACCATTACAGCCCCGGGGGCATCTTCGCCCCCGGCCTGCCCCTGACGCCCACCTCCATGATGGACAAGTCCAAACCCTCTCCCAACCTCAACCACGCCAGCCTGGGGTTTAACGATTATTTCCCGTCCCGCCCGCACCCCGGGGGCCTCCCGTTCTCACCTGCCCCCCCGGCCTTTCCCGCCCTCACCCCGGGGTTCCCGGGCATTTTCCCACCCTCTCTATACCCCAGGCCCCCCTTGTTACCGCCCACACAACTGCTCAAAAGTCCCCTCAACCACACTCCGGACGCGAAGCTCCCCAGCCCCCTCGGGAACCCGGCGCTGCCGCTGATCTCCGCGGTGAGCAACAGCAACCAGGCCCCTTCCGGGGAGGAGAAATGTGAAAGCAGCCTGGAAAACTCCTACCTGGAGAAGCTAAAAGCCAGGAACAGTGACATGTCCGATGGCAGTGACTTTGAGGATGTCAATACAACCACGGGCACGGACCTGGACACCACTACTGGCACGGGATCTGACCTGGACAGTGACGCAGAGAGCGACAGGGACAAAGCGAAAGACAAGAGCAAACAGATGGAGACCAAGCCAGATTTCGTCAGCAGCTCCGTGTCTGCGAGTTCCACCAACACCGCCAGCGAGATCCCTCTCTTCTATTCTCAGCATTCCTTCTTTCCTCCCCCCGAGGAGCACCTGCTGCCCACCACGGGAGCAGCCAATGACTCCATCAAAGCCATCGCCTCCATCGCAGAGAAGTATTTTGGGCCTGGCTTTATGGGGATGCAGGAGAAAAAGATGGGTTCGCTCCCGTATCATTCCATGTTCCCTTTCCAGTTCCTCCCCAATTTCCCCCATTCCCTCTACCCTTTCACGGAGCGGACCCTCAATCACAACTTGCTGGTCAAGGCAGAACCAAAGTCACCCAGGGACCTCCACAAAGTAGGCAGCACCAGCTCGGAGTCCCCCTTCGATCTCACCACGAAGCCAAAAGAGATTAAGCCAATCCTGCCGCCCCCGAAGGTCCTGCCAGCCCCGTCCTCGGGGGAGGAACAGCCACTGGATCTGAGCATTGGCAACCGCATCCGAGCCAGCCAGAACGGAGGAAGAGAGCCACGGAAAAACCACATTTATGGGGAGAGGAAGCTGATGGCAAGTGAAGTCTTACCCAAGATTTCCCAGTCTCAGCTGCCTCAGCAGCCGTCCCTGCACTACGCTAAGCCATCGCCCTTTTTCATGGACCCCATCTACAGGTATTAACATAGCCTGCCTTAAGCCTTTCTCTGACCAGCTCATTTTCTAGCTGACATCACACCTTGAGGCAGGTGGGGATGTAGGTTGTTTGGAAAGAGCAGTGAACTCCTGCTGTGGGTGTTTGTGCTTCTCAACACGTTGAATTTCCTGAATGGGAAGGGCAGAGTAATTGTGAGGAGCCCTTGTAATCAATGTGTGTAAAGAACACATCCTTATTTTGATAAAGAAGAAACTTGACCTATTTAAGGACTCTCCCACGAGCCATCACTAAGATGGCACTTCTGCTGGGGAAATTCCAGAGGTTTGATTCGATAAGAATGCAGAGTTCAGATGCCTCGGAGCCCAGGCTCTCATGGCTTGGGAATGAGTCAGGAGCCCTGGGAGCCTGGAAATGCAGCTCTCCCACTGACTGACTTGATGGCCTTTTGTGAGCCACTTCACCTTTCTTCCTCCCACCCCCTTTTTCTTTCTGGTGCCTTTTCTTAAGAGTTTCTCGGCTCGGGGGAGCGGCTGCTGCAGATCGAGTCTGACGAAACTTGTTACTCCTGGAGTAACAAGTGCTGTGTAAACACATGGTGGTGTGTTACCACCCAGATCTCTCCCAGAGACGTTCCTTGCAGACTTTTCTTTCTTAGGAGACAGCAAGGGTTTTCTGGTGTCAGTTGAACAGATGGGTTTTGAGGAGGGCCTGATGCCTTACGTCATGCCTAGAATGAGCTGAGCGTGGAAGGCGTGCGTAGAGCAGGCTGGGTGAAGTTATCCAAATGCCAGTTAAACTTCCAGAAAGAATGAATTCAGGAGCTGCAAAGGGAAGACTTGAGCCTTTTGTTGTTTGAGGGATTTTTGTAGAAATCTGTTTCTAAAGGAAAGTGATGTAAAGCTTTGTGGTGGGGGTACCAGTGAATTTGTGTGTCACCCATCCAGGCACCGGCACCACCTTTGCTGTCCTCCTGCTCTGGATGAGGTGGATGTGGCACGTTTGTTTTTAGCAAAAGAAGGGTCCTCAGCTAGTTTCATTTTGACATTAGCATGTCAAAATATTAATTAATGTTAACTTAGATATTAACATGTCTAAATACTTCATGTCATCTATTGGGATACATGTGTTTGGCCTGGAAGGCTCCTGGATTCAGTGTCCAGCTGGTTCCTGGAGGTTTGTCCTTGCATTCCTTGGGCTGAATGTGAATTGTGTGCCTAGTGATCCTCCCTGTGTCCAGCCTGCTGGAAGGTTAAGGGATGTGCTGCAGGAGCTGGTGTTTTCCTGGTGCTGGAAAGCCTCAGAGTCACCACAGTGTGACGTGTCAGCACCAGGATGGGTCACTTGAGCATTCAAAGGGCTGCAAACAACACCAGAACGTCCCCAGTGTCACTGAGGCTGCTGCCTTCAGCTGATAACTGGGGGGAGAGGTGATGTCAGTGTCTGGCCAGGCAAAGGAGCTGCTGGGCTGGGATCAGTGAGCCCTGGGTGCTGGCTCTGCCAGCTCAGGGGTGATGCAGCACTGCCTGTGTGCCATCCATGATGGAAACACTGCATCCCAGCCCAGGAGGGGCTGTGTCCTGCCTGGGACCCACCGTGGCCATCTCCCATCTCCTCCTGGAGAACTCAGTCAGGATACAAACAGTCCAGCATTTGTTTTTGTAAAAAGTATTCCTGGGGAAAGAAAATAAAATCAATAAATGGGACAGAAGGGCAAAAGCATTCACGTTGTATCCTGCCACCTCTGGGCATTGTCAGCAGGAATGTTAAAATAACACGGGCTGGAAAAGCCACTGCCAATTAAAATAGCGGCCTCGGGAAAACCATAAAGGTCCAGAAGACAGATGGAAGTGAAGGATGGGGGCATCATTTGTTGCATTCCATGGGATGCACATAGTTTTAGTAATATGTTAAAATAGAAAGTCAGCGGTGGGGCTGCTTGCGAATCAGACTTGTGATGTAATGAGCTAAACAGCCCAGCTTCCAAGTCCCAGCTTGAAAAACATGGAAATATTTTGTTTCTAAACTTCCCTTTATCAGACTCTCTCACATCATTTGGCTCCTTCGTTTTTCTCCCAAAGGCCACTTAAATCCTTGACATTTTCTCCTGGTGATATAATTTAATGCAGCCAGACAGCCTGAAAGTGGGGCAGTTCTGAGCTGGGCCTGTGAAGGTGCCGTTCTCAGGCACTGGGAGATGAGTGGCTTTAATCCTGCGGGCACTGCGGAATTCGGCTCTGACGAGGGTGTGAGGACCTTGCTGTGCTCTCATTCCCAGTGCTGGGAGATGGTAAAGCCGGTGCAACGCTGTCAATCCACCCAATTTTATGCCTGTGGGCGGGCAGGGCTCTCTGCAGACGCCTCTGCCGGGGTCAGGGATGTTCCCTTGGGCATCACAGCCCCAGGGAGAGCAAAGCTGGGCCGGGTGAGGGTCCCAGGGAGCAACTTTTTACATATCCTTTGGCAGATTGTTGTTTTTCTGACAGCTCATGCCCATAAAAGCACATACCTTCCAAAGCCCCGTAACTCGGATGGCATTTCCAATCCAGCTCTTCTCTCTCCCTCTGCCCAAGAAGAATTAAATGCAGATTAAGCACAGTTCACTGACTGCACTCTGCAGGGCTCTTCTTTAAACTCTTTGGTAATTTGATCCATGCACCAATCTAGCTGAAATGCAGCAAAATAATTTGCTCTCATTTATGCTGGACTAATGTAGTTAAAATTACTCTTACTCTTGGATTTCTGCTGTTTGAGCTGGATGGACTCAATTCCAGCCATTTAAAGAGGCAGCTGTGTTTGTTGGAGCTACTTCCACAACACTTTTTTCCCACAGAGGACATTTCAGTTTGTCTTATTGGTGATTCCCCACCACAGTTTCCCTGCCAGTAGAATATTTTGTGAAAGCAAAGCCAGTATTTTCAAAAATAGGAGCCTCACTTTCGGGTCATTTTTGTACATCAGGTGCTTAAACATGAAACATTTGAGTGGCCCAAGGTGATAACCAGAAGAGCTCAGGTTTATAAGGTGCTTCAGAACTCTCCCACCAGTTCCTCACTTTTTAAATTGTTGTCCACACGTGTTTACCAAAGAAACTCAATGCAAATTATGTCTCAGCTGCGAGGGAGGAAATAAATATGAAACACCTAATGATTTCAGCACGCTTGGGGCTGCAAAGTCTGGCCCAGTGTTAACTCTTTGGATTAATACAAACTCTCAAAGACAATTTCTTTTCCGTGCAGGGGCTGCCTGCTGTGGACTCTAGAGCTTCTCCCACTCAGACGTTGCTTTTGCTGTAAATGCAGGGGTTTCATGACATTTCACAGCAGCAGAGGTTTATAAAGCACTACAGAAGAGCAAAATATTTTCTTAGTCGTCAGTCTGATGGCTGAACAAATACTGCCCAGAGGAGGGGGTCTGTGTTCCTATGATTCCCAGTGCCTTTTGCAGGGTAGTTGTGGGTCAGAATTTGGAGTCTCCGGTAGAAGGGGAGGGCAGACATTTGTGTCAGCAGGAGAATAACCCCGTGTGTTTGACTGAACCCCCTGCAGAGGGTCTGGCTGTGCCCCTGTGAGGTATGTAACCCTCTGTGTTGTTGTCCAGCAGGGTGGAGAAGCGGAAGGTGACAGACCCTGTGGGTGCCCTAAAGGAGAAGTACCTGCGACCCTCCCCGCTGCTTTTCCACCCCCAGGTAACAGCAGGGACGTTGTTGTGCCACGTTGGGTGAGTGCCAGGGGGTTGGGATGGAGCTGGTACAGTCAGGCCACTGGCATCACCGGGATCTGACTCCTCCTCATCCAAGGGCTTGATTGGGATGTCCACTGTGTTCCACCAGTTACTTTCAGACACTTTTATCTGTGCCTGGTTTGAGCATGATGGCAGTTATGCCTTGATGTTCCCTTTGCATTACCAGAAGAACAAGGATGAGGTTTGGGCAGCTCTGCTGAACTCCCCTTTCCCAGGCCAGAATGCCTGGGTGGTTTTTCCTTCGGGAGCCCCTGGTGTGGTCACTGGCAGTGGTGCAAAGTGGAGAAGGACTGTCCAGCACCCAGGCAGCTGCATTTTGTACCTGCCTGCTGTTCCCTGACATCACCTGCAGCGTGTGGAGGAGCTGGGCAGTGGGTTCAGCTGTGCCTGCTCCAGAGGCATGTGATGGTCACCAGCTATCCCCATCCCTCCTGCTGTGGCCAGGCTGGGATCCCAGCCCCGTGGTCCTTATTGTGCTCTCCTTTATATTCACATGCATTGTTCTCCCCTGATAGTGTTTCCCACCTTAGATAAATAACTTGCAGGTTTGTGAAAGCTGGATCCTGGTTGCTTTCACAGCTAAACTTAGTTCCCTCATTGTTTCACACCAGCCTCAGAGTTTGGTTAATAACTTCCCCCGATTTTTCCTTCATCCAGGCTGGATAATGGTGACAGGCTGGCCAGGAACATCCTGTGTTTGTGTGAGTTAGAATAGTGGGGATATCTGCCTGTAAAGAATCTGATAGCAGGGAGGAGCCAGTGTGGCAAAGCAAACCAACGAGACGATGAGAAACGTCCAGACCCCGAGCAGGAGCAAAGCTTTGGGTGGAAGGTTGTTAACATTGTTCCCGAAATCCTGACCACGTCCTCTTCCCATGGCGATGAAAAGATGTGGAAGGTCTGGTTATCTCTAACAGCTTATCACACAGAATAGCCCAAAATTTACAATCACTCGGGCCCAAAACTTCCTGATAACTGGTTCTAATGAAGCGTGTGCTGGGTACAGATCCCTGGGTCTGGAGAGCTGCTGTTCCCATGCTGCAGTCCATCAGGGAGCTCAAATACAGCACAGGAAGATGGTCATTTGTTCCAGAATATGTGAGATTTTTACTATCAGATCCCCTTCCAGTGTTATCATGGAATATCCTGAGTTGGAAGGGACCCACAAGGATCATCGAGTCCTACTCCTGGCCCTGCACAGACACCCCAAGAATCCCACCCTGTGCCTGAGAGTGTTGTCCAAACACTCCTTGAGCTCTGGCAGCCTTGGGGCCCTGACCACCACCTCCCTGGATCCTAGATGCCTAAAATCCTAGATCCTTAGAAAAAGATCCTGGATCCACCTGGTCTTTTCTCCCTCTAAAGACGAGTCTGGCCTCAGCCCTTTCCTCTGTGACTCATCCCCCAGCTCTCAAAGAGCCCTCAGTGTGATGGGAGGAAGCAGAAGTTGTGATAAAAGTGTTCAGAAGACGTTTTCTCTCTCACAATGAATTTCAGGCAGCTCTTATTTTTCAGCCAGTCGTTGGCAGAAGTTCCTCTGCTCTCTGGGAGTTTTCCCACATTGTCTATTCCAAATTAAACTCTGGACAACATAAATAGCCAGTGTAACATTTTGATAACTTAATGGAGGACCTTTTCTCACCTGTTAACATTTCTTTTCTTCACCCTTTCTTCTTTATTATAACCAGGCAGTTGTTCCCTAAATAGCAAAGTGCCTTTGCCACTGTAGAGGCCGTGGCCAATGTTTAGAATTTTAAAACCAGCCTACGGCTCTGAAGGCAGCAAACATCTCTGACTAAGTGCCTAAAGAACAGGGCACAACAAAGGGTAGCTCCAGGTACCCCGGTGAAGGGCTGAGTGCAGGGCTCTGAAAGGTCCAGAGAGCATTTTAACGTGATGGTTTTGTTCCATGACTGGCAGCTGGGGCAGGGCTGGTGCTGTAAATGATCAAGTAACCTTTTCAAGTGGCTGGTGCTAAGTATTACTTACAATTTAGCATGGGCTGGGAGCCTCCAACCAAGGGGCCGTGGATCTATTATCAGGGAATGGGGGTTACTGCTCCTCTTGTTTTGCAGCTTATGAATGGCTGTCAGATTTCCACAATGTATTCTTGGGAGATTAAGACAACTTTTTTTTTTTAATAGTCGTATATTTTTAAACAATATCTTGGCTCTCTTCCCCCTCTGTCCCCCCCCGAGCCCAGTTTAATAAAGTGTAAACGTGCAAAAGGTCAGCCCTTCCTGTACAATAGAGCATCTCCTGGTGATAAATGGCTTCCTACTGCCTTCCGCCCCCCTCTGCAGCCAGCCCCGCTCCCCCCCTGCTCCCGGGGATGTCAGCACAGCCAGGAGGCAGCTTTATTGCTGCCTTGTTTGTTTTATCCCTCTTTTCTGCTCTTGGTATCTCGAAAGTGCTCTCAGGAGTGCACTGAGTTGGATTTTGGAGATGTCAGCATCGTCCTCCGAGCTGCACTTCTCTCTCTTGGCTTTTGGATTTCCAGTTTTGCTCCAATGAAAGTAAAAGTGCTTTTCTTTAGGTAGGATTTTTATTCAAATCCATTTTTTTCCCCCACATAGGCCAACTTCTTTCTTTCCTTTTTTTGTTTTCCCCTTCTCCTGTATCTCCAGCTTTTTCCCTTTCTCCCTCTTTCAGGTGTGGTGTTTACTCCAGTGTTTAGGTGAGCACACAGCTGTTGCAAAGTCATACAAACTAAAGGCACCCAGGGGCATTTTCCTCCGTGTCCCATCCCCAGGCCAGTGTGCCAGCTGCTCCCATCCCAGCAGGATGTGTAGCTGTTGGTCCTGCTGACTGTGACTCACCCAGTCACAGCTCACATCCAGGGCTTTGGCCAGAGTTCCCTTTCACTCCAGGAAGCTCAGCCATCTCCCACCCATCCTTCCATCACCTTTACTGGCTGCTGAACCTTTCCTACATATAATTAAAGTGTTGGCCTCTTTGCTAAGCAAACTCTCGGGGGACCCACTCCATCCTGAGCCTGATCCTAACTCCTCCTCTTCCCAGCTGCTCCCTTTTCACCCCTTCAGCCTCAGCCTGTCCTCTCTCAGCTCCCTGAGCAGCCATCACACATCCCTCCCGCCCCACTTTGGCCTGAATTCTTCTGCCTCCTGCCCAAAACTTCTGTGTCCCCTCACACCTGAGGTCATGTCCCTTCTGCTCCCCCACAGCTCCCTGCCCCATCCCCCTGAGCCCCTGGGAGGACAGAGGATGCTGTAGGAGACTTCAGACCTCCCTGCTTCCCAAGGCTTGGATCTGAGTTTGAGAGGAGAATTTGGATGCTGAGTTGTACCTCTGATGTCTGACCACGGTGCTTATTTTCAGTTTTATTCCTGGAAAAAGGGCAAACAGGCATGTTCTGAGGTAACTTGTACTCTGAAATGCTAAAAGCAAGCACAGGCACATTGTGGAAGGTGAACAAGTGCTGATTTCTGGGATCTAAAGTCCTGGCTTGGCCAGTTGTACCTTTCCTGATTTCTCCAAGACCAGTACACTGTTCCTGTCTTCCCTGGCTGGGATCAGTGGCTCCATTTCCCACTGTGCAGCTTCCAAGAGTGAGATCAAACATCAGCAACAAGCTCTGACCGACCCACGGGAGCTGAAAGCCATGTTTTGTGCACCAGCTCCTGCTCTTCCCGTGGGTTTTTGTGACACGAGGTCTCACCTTGTCCTTGCAGATGTCAGCCATCGAAACCATGACGGAGAAACTGGAGAGCTTTGCAGCCATGAAGGCAGACACTGGCACGTCCCTGCAGCCCCTTCCCCACCACCCCTTCAACTTCCGATCGCCGCCGCCCACCTTGTCCGACCCCATCCTGCGCAAGGGCAAGGAACGCTACACCTGCAGGTGAGGGACGGGCACCCAGGGAGCCAGAGCACCCCCAGGGCACGGGAGCACCCCAGGAGATGCCCCCCAGGCTGGGGAGCTGCTGCACCGGGCACCACGAGGGAGCAGGGATATCTCCACTGCCTCCCCGGGGGCGGGAGGGGAAACGAGGAGCAGCAGAATTAGCCCAGAGCGTTGGGATGACTAATCCCCTCTGAAATAGCTTGTTTTGTCTGGGAGGAAATCAGCATCTTCTGTTTGCTTTGTAATTTTTAATAACCCTGAGAGCGGATCTGGAGATTCTCAGATGGGCTCAGCTCCCCAGGCCAAGGCTCTGGTGTGTGGCAGCGAGCACTGTGGTTCCCAACTCCAGCACAGCCTCAACTGTGCCCATCTCTGCTGAGTCCATCCCTGGTGTGTCCATCTCTGCTGTGCCCATCTCAGCTGTGTCCATCTCTGCTGTGCCCATCTCAGCTGTGTCCATCTGTGCTGTGTCCATCTCAGCTGAGTCCATCTCAGCTGTGTCCATCTGTGCTGTGTCCATCTCAGCTGTGTCCATCTCAGCTGAGTCCATCTCTGCTGTGTCCATCCCTGGTGTGTCCATCTCTGCTGTGCCCATCTCAGCTGTGCAAAATGAGGGCATTGCAAACAATGGATGCAGGAAACAACTTCTTCAAACACACTTGCACCCCCAGAAGTCCTCGAGTGCCCATCTCAGCTCCAACAGCTCCTCTCGGAGCAAGTCACTGATTTTTAATAATAAACTCTGTCTCTGTTGTACCTGCAACTGCTCGAGGTTCTCGTGGTGGCTCCTGATGAGGTTTTTTGGGTGCAGAAAATGGGCACATGCTTTGGTTGATGTATCTCTTAGGTGCAGCTTTGCCACAAAAGCTGCAGGCTCAAATTTCAGCTGAATATTTAGAAATTGGAGGGTTTCACTTACAATAGGGACTAAACTTAAATTTAGATCCTCATGAGTTACCATTTGTGTTTTGGTTGTTGAGGAACACTCGCATGGACTGTTTATCCTCAGGACATCTGAGGGTGCTGAATGTGTCTGAAATTAAGAGAGTCTGCTCAAAGCTTCCTCCTACAACAGAGTCACAGAGTGCAGTCCCTCATCCTTAGTATTTTATTTCCCAGTTAGTATTTTTATTTATACCTTTTGAGTTTACTGTGAGCTGGTTTTACTGGGGAACACAGTTCCTTCCTTTATTTCCTGTTGCTGCATCTCCTTGCTCTAAGCAGCTTGTCAGCCCCATAACCCAGCACTGCAGCCTTTATCCAGGAGAAAATTCTGTGAATTCCAAGGGTGATGGAGCAGATTCTGTATGATGAGCAAGTAAACAGGGCTCTAAAGGACATCTATAAACATCTCACCCGACAGGATGACTGGGCAGGGATTAAACCCCCTGTATCCTGATGAAGGGACGCTGTAGTTAAACCAGGTCCTCAAGTGCCATGTCCACACATTCCTTGGACACCTCCAGGGATGGGGACTCCACCACTGCCCTGGGCATCCCATTCTAATGCCTGACAACCCTTTCTGTGAAGAAATTCCTCCTGGTGTCCAACCTGACCCTCCCCTGGCACAGCTGGAGGCCGTTCCCTCTCCTCCTGTCCCTTGTTCCCTGGGAGCAGAGCCCGACTACCCCCAGCTCCCCCCTCCTGTCAGGGGGTTGCAGAGCCAGAAGGTCCCCCCTGAGCCTCCTTTGCTCCAGGCTGAGCCCCCCCAGCTCCCCATCAGACTGTGCTCCCGTGTCACCTCTGTGACCCCTGTTATTCTGGGGTGAGTTTTGACCTGCACATCTTCCCCCCCTCGGTCCAGGAGGGAGCTGGGAGTGCCCTGAGGGATTTTGGGGGCGGTGTGAGGGTGGGTGAGGTGGGTGGTGTGGGTGTGGTGTGCTGTGGCTCCTGCCCTGATGGTTCCCTTGGCTGTCTCTCCCCAGGTACTGTGGTAAGATCTTCCCCCGCTCAGCGAACCTGACGCGGCACCTGCGGACACACACGGGGGAACAGCCCTACAGGTGAGCTGGGCCCGGGGCACCCCCTTCCCAAACCCCCCTCGCTCCCCACACTGGCATTTCTTCCCCTCTCCATAAAGCTGTGCCAGCAGAACACCACGGGCCTGGAGCATTACACAGAGTGATTCATAGTGTTGTATATTATGTGTACCAGCCAAAAATAATCAGGCTTGGCAGCCTGAAGATAGACACTTAACTTATATTTAGATGTATGCTGGCAAATGAGGGCTCTGATTTGCAGTGTTGTTTCACACTCACGTTAACCATTCATCTCAAGGACAGCTGAAGGTGCTGAATGGCTCTGAAATTCAGGCTGGTTTGAAGGGCTTGCCAGGACCTTCACTGCTGGGGCTGGCTGGATTTTTTTTTCCCTTTTCTGATGTATATCAGAGGTGCCTGGAGCAGTGGATCAAAAAAAACAAAGGAGAAGAGAAACCCTACAGAATTATCTGCTTTAAAATCGAGGTTTGGCAGTGTCTGACCTTAAATCCCGAAGTTTAAAGGGACTGATGGGAGGGGGGGCTTCACAAACAGTCTCACACATTCAGTGGGTGTTTCAGGTAGAAAGCTGGACTATTTTCTGCTGGTTGTGGACAAGGTGGTGTGATTGTGACCCCTCAGTGTGCAGGGGGGGTGTGCACAGGGACAGACTCTCCCTCTGGAGAGCAGGCACAGTGTCCCATCCCAGCACATGCTGGTGCTGTGGCTCAGAAAGGGGCTCCTGTTTAACTCAGGGCTTTAAACTTCAATAAAACTCGCAAGAAAATATGCGTAATATGTGTGTGTAGGTGTATAAATGACTGTTTCTCATGGAAGACCAAGCAGGGATCTTCCCCCCCCCAGTATTTTCTCCCAGTACTTTGCAGGCGGTTTCAAAAAAAACTTCAGCAAAAATACACTTTCTTGTTAGAATTGGGTCCATATATGAGCAAACCTGAAGGAAAGATGAATTGAGAGCTCGCTGCAAATCAAGCATTCTGTTTTCCATGATGTGAGTAAACGTTTTGCATGTTGTCAAACAACAGTAACAATTCAGTTTCGTTTTGGGCAGCTGATACTGCAGCGTTTCCATGCACAGCCATAAGTTCACAACAAAGCCAATGTGGCAGTTACTGTATGAAGAGAAGCACAAATTTATAAGCAGCAAAAGGCCATGTGGTCAAATACATCACAGTTTTATGCTCAGTTTGACTCAAGAGGCGACTCTCCCGCATTGTAGTTGCTGCTACACGCAGAGTCACGTTTATTTTCCATACAGAATTTCGAGTAGACGTTAGGTAAATTAAAAATACCCCCCTCTCCAAAGCAGACATATATTTTGGACCCAATCCCTGCTGTGGTGTTCGGGGCTGTGGTATTTGATACGAGGAGTGGGCTCTGTGTGTTCCCTGGGCACTGAAACCCTCGCTCCCGATTATTCGGGGATTGTAAGTTCGGTTTTCTTCCAAAAAAGGAGACTTGCAACTTAACAAAGGTTAGGAAAATAAAGATTTATTTGATCTGGTCTTCTCCCAGAAAATGGCCTGGGTGGATTTTTTTTGAGGTCTGACTCCTGGACAGTGTTGCTGTCTAACAGCACTCGGGAGAGTCGGAGCTGCCTTTGCAGAGGAGCTTTAATTATCATTGATTTGCTTTTTGCTCTCAGAGAAATGAGATTTGCAGCTTTGGCAGCCAGAATTGTTTGCGAAGCTTGTTTTTTTAAGTATTGACTTCGTGCAGGTAAAAGGAGGGTTTACTGATGTCTCCCTGACAACTTTGCTTTTGACTGTTTAAATGCTTTTCCTTTTGATTCTGTTAGTGCTATATATTAATTCAAATATCAGTTTAAATGTTCTTAAAGTCAATATAAACTGACCAGATGTTCACGTGGAGATCAAGAAAAAGACCAGAAAATAAAGTGCTTTGGTTTCAATTCCTGATTTTCAGTGAAAAATTATTTTACAAAGAGTTTTTACCAAGATGAGCATTTTTACCAAGTCACTTAAACCTCCTAGATGTCTATTTAATTATGTATAAAGTACAAATTAGTAGCACAGGAACAATAAGAAGGGAAATTATTTTTTTTAAGGGAAAGTGAAGCACATTATTATTTGAACAGTGAGAAATACCTGCCAAGGCACTTCCTAAAAATCAGCTGATTTGAAAAGGCTCTGAGCCCCTGTGGCCTACAGTGAAATTCAGTGTTTCTTCTCACTCTTTTGTTTGCACCAAAGCTAAAATTCAGGAGTAGGTATTTCAAAATCCAGTCATAAGGCCCTTGTAGGTCTTGTGCCCTGTTATTTGCATTAGGCTGAAACTATCAACTAAAGCTGACGTCTGCCACGTCATTTCAGATCGTATGTAGTTCAGTAAATGTCTTTATTGAAGATATTTCTCATTTCCTGGTGTTTAAAACGCAGCCTAAGTTCATCCCTGCTGTAAATGCTCTTGGGGCTGAGGAGGAGTTGCTGTCTGTGTGTTTTGTGCTTTTTCACTGCAGTTCTGCCTGTCCAGCTCACACTGATCAGCAAATCCGTGTAAAACTGCCACTTGTGTCCCAGGGACTCCTTCCCACATCCCTGGGGTTTGCTGCCTGTTTTCCCCCTCCACCCGTGTTATCCCGGGTACCTCCAGCTCCAGGGATTGCCTGTGGTTCCTCAGAGCCCCCCAGCTCCAGCTCCAGCTCCTTCTTTGCTGTCACTCACTCCCACTTTAGATGTTTTTAGCCCATTGCTGTGTTACTTTAAGCTGATAAGGGAGAAGCTTTACTGGTGTCCTGTCGATGTGTTTCCAAAGCAAATGCTGCTGCCTTTGAATTTTACTCTTCTCCTGCCTCTGTGTTCACTCCTCCCCTGAATTTAAGATGGTTCCTCTGTCTGGGTCATTTATTTAGATTAAAACCAGCAGAGTTCCAAGCACTGACCCCTCTGGGACCACAAATAACGCCGGACATCTCCCTCATCCCTTTGCTCCCAGACATTAGCTGCTCCTTCCCCATGGCCCTCTGGTTCCTATTTCTTTAACAAGCTCTTCATCCTGTCTCCATGCCCTGCCCTGGCTGCACACAGCTCATTGTGAGAGCGAGGACCTGTCAGAGGGAACTTTTCAAAGACTTCCTGGACATCTAAATAAATGGACATGGAGGGGGCTGGAGCTCTCCTGCCCTGCCCGTGGGAGAGCTGCCTCTGAACCAACTGGAGCTGCTCCTGGCAGGGACTCAGGGAGAGCCAGGCTGGGTACCTGGGCAGCCCTGGTGCCCACTGTGGCAGGTATCCACTGTGCCAGGCACTGGGACACACACAGAGCTGAGTTTGGCTCAGGAGGGCTCAGAGATGGTGCAGATGGGCAGGAAGGGAAAGCCACCAGCACCAGCAGGGATGAACTGGACAAAACTACTCATGAAAATCTTGTGGAACAGCAGAAATTTGGGGGTATTGGCTGTTCTGGATGTCACAGCTTTCTGAAGGGCTGGGCAGGAGGAGCTGCTGAAGCCTGGCAGCTCCTGAGAGCAGGTTCCTTGGTGCTGGAAGTCTGTGTTTAACTCCCCGTGCAGAAACTGTGCTTGTTCTTGCTGATGTTCAAGTAATGCTTTCTGGGGTTATTTAGGGGTTTTTGAAAGAATGAAAAGGAAAGACTTTAGAAGTCTGAAAAAGCTGTGGTTTAAAAAGAGATTTTGCTTTCTTCCTCGGTTAATCCTAATAAAGGTTCATTATTTGAAATATCTTTATTCTTTCTGGAGGTTTAGCAGTAGGAAATTCGGAGGTGGACATGGAATCCATAAACATTCAGCGAGAGAGAGTGTTTCATAAATGTATCCCTGCTATTTCCAAAAATAATAATCAATTTATTTTTGGAGACCAAATAAAAATCACAGCTGGAGCACATCTGGAAATGGGGGGGGGGCGTTTCACAGCCGAGATTTTTTACACTCGCAGTTGAACCTGTTGTGTCTGTAGGGAGGAATCCCACGTCCTAAATGTCCAGGGAAATCCAGTTTCATCCATGAGTGAGGCTGGCACGGGGTGAGTCTGGGTGCCCTGAGCACATCAGGAGCTGCTGCTGTTCCCAAAACCTGTGGGGATGCCCCTCCATCTCCATGTCTTGGGACTTTCCAGCCCAGACTTTTGGGGGATTCTTGGATTCCCTTGGAAGAGTAGCTCAGCTGAGCAGGGCAGGCGTTGCTCTGGGCTGGAGGAGCTCGGAGCAGTCCTGCTGAAGTGAGTGGATTTGTCCTGGAATTGCAAGGGCTTGGGAGCAGTTTGGATTTTGTCCCGTGAGTGTCCGGGATTTGTGGAGGATTGTAGCAGAGAGAGATTCTGCTGCTCGTGAGTGTGGAAGCAGAGCCACGAGAGAAGCAGCTTTGCTGAGTTCCAAGGGATGTATTTAACGGGAGAGACCTAAGGAGGGATTCGGCGGATTCCGAGGGGAATGAGGCTCCCAAAACTCTGCAGTGCGGCTCGAAGCTGCCCTCTTCAGTCCATCGGAGCCCACAGCACCACCCTGAGCAAATCCTTGGGGTTTTTTGGAGGGAATCTGAATCGAGAGAGGAGGGTGACCACTTTGAACAGACCCCCAGCCCATCTGCCACGGGTCGTGCAGGGACTCAGCTCAAAGAGGGAATATTTCTTCCCTCAGCAGCTTCCCTAAATATCCTAGCTCGACTCCTTACAGTCCAGTTTTTCATCTTAAACCAGATATTCACCTGTAGGAGTAAATCCTGTTGGGAAATTATGCTGTATTTTTGGGAGCTATTGTACAGAAAGAATAACCATTATTACCTTTAAAGACACACTCTGTGGCCTGGATCTCCAGCACCACAAGGAGTTTCACAAGTAAAGCTGGAGTTTTTTGTGTGTCCAGCTGATTGTCACACAGGGATTTACCTGTTAATAACTATTTTATACATTTCACCTCCCTTCTTCCCAATTCCTTGTCCTCCCTCCACAGCCATATTTCACCTAATCCCTCCCAAAAGGGGAAGGTTGGAAGGAATAAATTCACCTTTCTTATTTTAACTTTGATGTGTGGAAAAGTAATTACTTTGTTTAAAACCCTTATTTGTTTGGACGACTTGTTTCCTAATTAATCCTAACCCTTTCTTTGTGCTCCTTGAGTGAGAATAATATCAGATTTGTCTGCAATGATTAATGCCTTGTGCTTCCCATGTCCTCAGCTGAGTAATGATTTATAGACTGACATTCCCTGGTTTTCTGATAGTCAGATTTTTCTTTTTTTCTTTTTTTTTTTTTTTTTTTTTTTTTCCCCTCACACTGCAATCTTTGGCGTTTGCTTCTGTTTTTCAGGTGTAAATACTGTGACAGGTCATTCAGCATTTCCTCCAACCTGCAGCGGCACGTCCGGAACATCCACAACAAGGAGAAGCCATTCAAGTGTCACCTGTGCAACAGGTGCTTCGGGCAGCAAACCAACCTGGACAGGCACCTGAAGAAACACGAGCACGAGAACGTGCCAGGTAGGGCAGGCCGTGGATCTCCCGGGGCACTGCAGGGACAGGACACCATGGGCTGGTCTCTCCCTGGCCCTTGGGAAGCCCTTCTGGAATGCACTGTTCCCTGAGGCTGGGTCTGGGGGGGGGTGGAGTTCGAGAAGGTACTTGAGGCTTTGCCTTAAGATAAACACTGAAGGAGGAAATCCCTGAGCTGAGGCCAAGGAAAGTGATTTCCCAGCATAGGTGAAAAAAAGAAATATTGTGGAAAGGTTATAGGCAAACAGCTCTGCAGTGGATAAGGGTTCTTAAATTGTATGTATTGTCCATAAATGCTAAATATCCCCTGTATTTGTCTCTGTAGTTCAGGTCTGGGAAACACAAACTTCCTTTGGGAGCTTCGGGCCATGACTTTTCTCTTGACTGTTGACTCAGGAGTATCTAGTGAGGGGACTGTTCCTCCTTTATGTTTGCTGTTCCTGATGGCCTTGGCAACACCTGACGGTGTCTCCTGTCCTCTCCTTGTCTCTCCCCCACAGTGAGCCAGCACTCTGGAGTCATCACCAACCACCTCGGGACCAGTGCCTCTTCCCCAAACTCGGAATCAGACAACCATGCACTTTTAGATGAAAAAGAGGATTCGTATTTCTCTGAAATCAGAAATTTTATTGCAAATAGTGAGATGAATCAAGCGTCAACTTTAGCAGATAAAAGGTAGAAAATAGAATTATCTGGTGACAGTACAGGCACGAACAGTAAAATAATATGAGAGAGGATTTAAGCTGGTTGGTAGAAGCTTCCTCCTCCTGATTGCTCAAAGGGACATTGTTGGAATACAGCAGCACAGAGAAGGAGGAAAGCTGCCTGTCCCACAGATGTTATATTTTAAGAGATTAAAAACCAGCATTTAAATTCAGAGTAGACAATACTGTAGTTTGAAAAGCCTTGGGGTTGGTGTATTCTTACCATACTTTTTGATCCTTAAGACATGGTAAAGGCTGATTTTTAAGTACCTGTGGCATATTGGTTTTCCTTTTTCTTATGTCTTAAATAATCTATATATGTATATAAACATGTCTCTGTGTTCATACACATACATATAATATTATCAAAGCATTGCAGTAGAAGTATGACTTACACATTTGCCATCTTTTTTTCTTTCCTCTCTCCTTCTCCCTCCCCCCCTGACCAAATATTTCAGGCCAGAAATCCAGGATATTGATGGCAATTCCCAGTGTCATGGATTAACAAATGAGAAAACAGAAGATGTGGACGATGAAGACGAAGAACTGGAAGAGGAGGACGACGACAGCCTGACAGGGAAGTCCCAGGACGAGCCGGTGTCGCCCACGGCGGAGCCCCGAGGGGCGTTTGAGGATGAGGAGGATGAGGAGCCCACGTCTCTCACCATGAGCTTCGACCACACCCGGAGGTGAGGGGGCCGTTCCCTTCGAGGGGCTGGATGGGGCTCAGCCCCCGTGTCTGTGGTGGATCATCAGTGCTGTGGTTTGTTTTCCCAAGCCATGTCTCTCATGCCTCTGGTTTGATTTGGGCATTCACTCGAGATTCCATTTCACCATGGTGGGGGACACGAAACAAGTGGACTGCAAGGAGAGTCTGGGCTGAGGTGTGTGTCCAAGGCTCCAGGAGTCTGGATCAGGAGAACAGTTAGTCTGGCACAAAACCCAGGGCAGCACAGCTCAGCAGATATTGTCTTTCTCTCCAAAACTCTGGCCAGGGTGAGGGAAGGGGTGTCTGTGCTTTGGTGCTACTCTGGCCCTTTGAGTCACAGCAAAATATTCTTGACTGCAAGTGGAGCTCTCAGAGCTCTGGCAAAAAGGGGATTGTGCCCCTGTGCCCCCTCAGGTGAGACCCCCCCTGCAGAGCTGCCTCCAGCCCTGGGGCCCTGGCACAGCAAGGACATGGAGCTGCTGGAGTGAGTCCAGAGCAGGCCACCAAGGGGATTAGAAGGGTGGAGCAGCTCTGCCATGAAGACAGGCTGGGAGAACTGGGATTGTTCAACCTGGAAAAGAGAGGGCTTCAGAGTGACTTAACTGCAGCCTTCCAGTACCTGAAGGGAGCTACAAGAAAGATGGAGAGAGAGTATTAATAAGGGCTTGGACAAGGGGGAATGGCTTCACACTTCCAGAGAGTAGAGTTAGGTTGGATATTAGGAAGAAATTCTTCCCTGTGAGGGTGGGGAGACCCTGGCCCAGGTTGCCCAGAGAAGCTGTAGCTGCCCCATCCCTGGAAGTGTCCAAGGCCAGATTGGAGAGGGCTTGGAGCAACCTGGGCTGGTGGAAGGTGTCCCTGCCCATGGCAGGGGGTGAAATGGGGTGATTTTTAAGGTCCCTTCCAACCCAAACCAGTCTGTGATTCTATGATTCTATAAAAAGCGAAGACTTCTTTTCCCCAAGGTCAGCCATGCCTAGACAGCTTTAAAATTCAAGTTTCCTGCACACAGTGCAGGCCCAGCCTTCTTTTTGCCTCAGCTGCCTCAGTTTCCCCCTGGTATCCACAGCAGATGTGCCAGGATGCCAAGTAACACCTTCCCCGAGCCCAGTGCCCCGCTGGTTTTGGTGCAGAACCTCAGACACCTGCAGCACTTGTTGCTCTCCACTTCTTGTCTGCTCCTCCCATGCCGTGTGGTTCCCGTGTCCGTGTGTCCGTCCGTTCTCGCATGTGGCTGTGACCCCCGTGGGTTGTGCATGCAGGCACCGGGCGAGGGGTGGGTGCCCAGCCGAGCTAACCCGGGTCACCCCTGGTCATTGGTACAGGTGTATTGAGGAGGACGAAGCCGCCCTGTTAGATTTGGAGCAGATGCCGAATTTTGGGAAGGGGCTGGATCTTCGCAAAGCAGCCGAGGAAGCATTTGAAGTTAAAGATGTGTTTAATTCCACCTTAGACTCTGAGACAATAAAACAGACTCTGTACAGGCAGGCTAAAAACCAGGTGGGTATACACAGAACGTTTTCCAAGCTTGCCGCCAGCACGGACAGTAGGATTAGGGAGCAGCTGCCCTCCTCTAGCAAAGGGTTGTTTTCCCCTTCTAGTGGGTTATTTCCCCCTTGCAGTGGTTTATTTCCCCCTTCCAGCAGGAATTCTAACACACACATGGATGGTGAGTGAACTGTGCTTGTTGCAACAACTGAAACAGAGAGGAAGGGTCTGGCCATCACCTTTAGGGCACCAGGTGGATTTGTGGTTCAGCCCGTGTGGTGAGAACGTGGCTATACAGGAAGAGAGAGGCATCTTGTCTGTTTTTATCTGTCTGTATAAATGTTTCTGTGGCTCTTTATTTATTTATACTTTGGGACGGGTCTTCTGCTTGTAAACACCGAGGTTTGTTCTGCAGAAACAGCAACAAAATGCCCTTGTGTTTGGTTATAAAAGGTGTCATAGACAACAGTATATCCAGGACTTGCAGCCCAGTGTGTCTAGAGGGTCTCCTTGTTTATCTCCTTGATTTCTAAAAGTAAACCATATGTAAAAGGACTGGAGAGAGCACACTCAGCCCTTGGCAGGGGATGAGCCCTGGCCTCGAAGGCCCTTTCTGATTTTCCAGCAACAGAATTTATCCTAAAATCTGTTTCAAATGTTCAGCAGAGCAGTAGTTTAGTGCTGCCACGCAGAACATGATTTTTGATTTATCACCCAAAACTTGTGAAATTCTTGTCCCCCTTCACAGCAGGTGTTAGGAGTGAGGGAGGGTCTGCTGGAAGATTGAGCAGAGCTTTTTTGGGGGTGAAACTCAATTAAATACAAGCCACCTGCCAGACTCTTACATGTGTCCTGTCACTAATATCCCAAATGCACTAACTCTAGGAACAACCTGCTCTTTTCCAACATGTATCACACTGTTAGGACCAGCCTGTGCTTGACTGGGGAGGGGTTGTATTTTGGGGTTTTGAATCAGTTTCACACTTGAATCACAATAAGCAACTTAAATAATTCAAACCATATCTTGTACTGGAAATGTAAGAGTAAACCAGAGCATTCCTTTGGCTTTCTTTTAAGCAGTTTTAGAAGTGTGTGTGGTGTCCACAGCACCACAAAGCTGTTCCTCTGCCCTGGACCAGGGAGGGTGGGGACCAACTGTGTTCTCCTCCTTCTCCTGGGTGACAATGACATTGGCTTTCCCCTCTGGTGTGTGAGGTTATCATTGGCCTCAGTCCTCACACCACTTGTGTGGGTTGTGGAAGGACACAGAGGTGTGTGAGACGAGCAGTCCTGGAGGAGGGAGAGCACCCAGGTTACAAAAAGCCAGGTGATTGTTGTGTATGCAGAAGTCTTGGTGTGTTTCTCCCAGAAAACACCTTTAATCATTTAATGGATTTAATAATTCAATCCACTCTGACAGAACACCTGAACATGCCAGTAGTGCCAGTGAGCATTTTGTGTTCCCAAATACCTCCATACAGGTGTCTGCAGGCACCAGTGGGATCATGCCAGGCAGTGAGTGAGGATGAGCAGCTGCCCACCAGTGCCCACCAGGATGCTGTTCCTGTGGGCATTGCTGCCCCATTTCCAGGGCTTATGCCCACCCCAGCCCAGCCTCTGTGAGACTCTGGCCTATCTGGGGATGTGCTTTTTTTAAGAGCAAACCCCAGTAAAGCTGCCTTTCCTGGGAGCAGAGGCTGGAATCACTTTGTGGGACCTGGCTCAGGATGGGTTTGGGCCTGTAAAAGCCACTGGGTATGATGGTCTCTCCTGACTGTCCCTACAACTGCCTGTAAATGGTGGCAAATCTGAGTCTTTGGAGTGGTGGGGGCCATCCTGGTGTGTGGAGGGGGATTTATGGCCCAGGCCAGAGGATGCTGCCTGCCCCATGTGCGGGGTTGGGGCTGTGCCTCACACCCCCTGCTCAGGGTCCTGCAGGGTGTTCACAGTGTCCTCTGCATTCCTCTCTCCCCCAGGCTTATGCAATGATGCTGTCCCTGTCTGAGAACGCTCCCCTCCACACGTCCTCCCAGAACTCTCTGGGTGCTTGGTTGGACATGGCAGGAGCAGCTTCAGAGTCGGGGACCTTTAACCCCATCAACCACCTCTGAGAGGTCCTCAAGGCACTGGCCAGAGTCCAAGCGAGGCGGCAGTGGTGCTGCAGTTATCCTTGCAAAATCCCAGCGAGCAGAAGATGGATGAGAGGGCCTCAGGGAGTCGTCTGAACTTTGGGCTGAGAAGGAAACCTGTTGCATCCGACCTACACGTCCTGCATTTTTACCTATCCAGAGTTTTCCTTTCTAATTTATCAGAATGAACCTCTCCCAAACTGGATAACCCTGACGCAGCCCCAGGATTTCACTGTCTGTAGGAACAGCATGAGCAAGACATGAATTGCAACAGTGCAATCAAAGATTGGCCCCTCCAACCTCACAAACCGGTGTCACTGAGCCAGTCCAGCCTGAGCAGGAACGGCAGCTCGGAACCACACAGCAGCATTTCCTTCCCGTCCAGCTGAGCAGGGAAGTACTGAGGGAAGAGAGCCAGGGCTGGCCTGTCCCTGGTGCAATTCTGACACAGTCGCTGGAGTTATACCAGGGAAGAGAAATTCATCCCATTTCACTGACCCCCAAAAAGATCTGTGCTCCCACAGAAATACCAGCCTGTCCTTTGTTCCCAACAAAACACTGGCACAGCACAAAGCTCCTTGGAGGTGAGGCCTGGAGTCATCCTACGCTCCGTGCAGGTCCCAGCTGGGACATCTCCAGCCTGGAACGTTGCTGGGGTCGGCGTGTGGATGTGTCACACCAACGTGGGTCATTGGCTGAGAGGGCAGAGGGCTCCCCACCCCTGCCAGTGCTGCGAGCCCGAGCTGCTGCCTGGGCTGGGAACATCACAGTGTCTGGGACAGAGCTGTGCCCAGCCAGGGCGGTGGCACTGGTGGCACTCGGGAGTGATGGAGCTCCTGGTAGTGCCTGGAATTCCCCAAGCAGAAAGATCCCAAGGTGAGCCCTTCCCTGGCTGTGCACAAGGAAGCGTGTGCTGGGTGAGTCTCACCCCACCGAGGGCAACTGAGGCAGATCTTCTCCTGTGTCATCTCCCGGGGGTTTTGGGTGACATCATTCCGTGCTGATGGTATCTGGGGCTGTGGCAGAGATCGCTGATTCACACCGTTGTTCTGGCCTGTTGGATGGTGCCTCTGCACCACCTGCTGCTGCTTGGCCTGTAATTTCAGTAGAAAGATTAACATTTCCATGCTCCAGCAGCCTGAGGGTGCAGAGCTCTGCTCGGGCACGGAGATAAGAATCGAGTTGTCTCTCCAACCCTAAAGTTGCTCACAGATATTTTATGAGTGATTTTAAAACACTTCAAAACCTCATCTCCTTTGCTGATACACAACAGCCTCCAGAAATCCTCTGGGCTTTCTGCTGTTCTCCGTTGCAGTTGCAGTCTGCTGTTGGAGCAGGGAATTTGGAGATAACATTGATTTACGGAACGATTATGGAAGCCACGTGCAGCCTCTCTGCCTGCTCAGTATGGAAAAGGGCAGAGGGAGGTTTCTGAGCCAGTCCAGAGTGGGAAGCCTCATTCCATCATGCCAAAACAACGGAACCACCTCCCTGAGTAAAGCAGAGGTGGTGGGGGGAGTGATCTCTTTGCAAAGTCAGCTTTGCTCCCAAGAGCACACCTGAGGCTGTTTTCAGGGAGCCGGGAGCCTCAAACTGTTCACGAAGGAAAACATCAAAGGTGGCTTTGGTACAGAAGGAACAAAAGGTAAATTAGCAGCATCAGCGTATTTCCCAAGAAAATTTATCCTCCTTTTTTTGGTTTTCCACAACATCCTGTGAAAGTGCCCAAGGCCCTGAGAACACCAGTCAGTGTAACCGAACTGCTTCATGTATTTGCACAAAGCTCTTGGGCAGGGGAAGCCTGAGAGCCAACACTGTCAGAGGAACCCTGGCTCTGCAGAGGGGAGGGACAGCCCTGTCCCATCCCATCCCATCCCACCCCATCCCATCCCATCCCATCCCACCCCACCCCACCCCACCCCATCCCATCTCATCCCATCCCATCCCATCCCATCCCACCCCATCCCATCCCATCCCATCCCATCCCATCCCATCCCATCCCACCCCATCCCCACTGTGGCAGCTGCAGCACAGCCCTGCCCAGGCACTTGGCCTTTAAATTATTCCCACAGGGGCCAACTGAAAATAATAAAAGAATTGTTTCTTTTCCTGATGGAATTTATTTTAATCTGTATATAACTTGTAATTTTGGGCTAATTCCTTTCTTATTTTATTTCTTCCTTAACAGTATTTTTTGCATTAGGGATCATTCTTGTGAAGAAACAATGTTAATATAAGTATGTAGTGAAGGACCAAAAGCGTGTTGTTAAGGTTGGATGTTGGATGATGGATAACCAGGGATTAGGAACATTTTGTCCATGTGCCAAAAGCCCCCCAGATCAGTCCTGCCAGTCATGCTGCCAATTCTCCAGACAATCACCCCTTGGGTTCCCTTTGCCTTGAAGTGCCCAGGGCGTTGGAGGAAGGTTCTAGTGATGGCCTTGGCTGGTTGGGAACCAGCACCAGCTCCCCCAGTGCAGGAGGAGGAGGAGGAGGCCAGTAGGGATGCTCTGCCTCGATGGCCCTGCTCCAGGAGAGCATGGAAAGGGCCATAAGCATGGGCATAGATCCGTCCTGTCCTGTTCCAGCACAAAGCCAATTTGCAGCTCCTTGGATTTTGGCAGCTGCTTGGAGCAAACAGTGTGTGAGCATGTCTCTGGTAGGGCCCATGGCACTGCCTGTTGTGCTGGAACAAGATCTGTGGGCAGTGAGCAGGGTTTGCATGCTCAGATCCAATGTTCTCTCCGTCCTTTGAGGAGGTCGGGATCTGCAGCTCGAGGAGGGAACAGAGCAGCCAAGGGAGAGGCAGTGAGCTGATCACCAAAATGTGGGCCAAGTATCAAGAAATTCAAGTGTTATCATGGGGATTTATTTGGGGTATTTATGGTCTTCCCATCCACATCTCAGCCCTTCTCCCTGTTGTGTGGTTTCTCCAAGAGCTGTTTGTCAGGTCCTTGCTCTGACTGAGCTTGTGCTGTCACTGTCCCCCTCCCGGGGCTGATCCTGGCTCTCCACAGACCTCCAGGAGTGAGGGCTCCTGGTCCTGGCCAGGGATGGGGAGGTACAATCCAGCCAGGGATTGAGGACATTAAAATATAGGGTTTAAAATCATGAAATGATTTTTTTTCTTTTCGTATTTCCTGATTCAGTTTTCTCCCCACTTTCCCTAGCTCATGTCTCCGTGTGTTGTAGGATCTCCCAACTCCTCTAATTTAGCACTGATTACAAGTTTTGATTTTTCTGGTTAAGATAAAGAAACAGAAAGCCTCATTGAACCTCTGTTTAGCTTTCACTTTCGTTGGATTGCACTTGAAATGTGCTGCAGTTCCCAGCAGGTGTTGAGGTTTCGGTTTGCTGCTTTAGGGAAGAATCCCGTATTTTCAAGGCTGTTTCCCGAGGGTTTTGTGTCGAGGATGTTCTGCCATCAGGGCACGGGTGGCTTCCCAGAAGGGGGGAAGGTCTGGGAGCTTGGGTGAGATGTGGAGCTGTGGTGCTCAGGGCTGTCCAGAGCCATGGACACGTGGGGATCCAGGATCCCAGTGCAATGTGGGCAGGTGAGGGTGGCAGGGATGGGAATGTGGGGTGGTGTGTCCAATAGCCAGGGCACCACTCGAGGTGTGATTTAAACCAGAGCTTTTGTAGGACCGACTTATTGAACTATCTTACATCCCATGGCCTTATTGCCACAACAGCACAGAGGAGAGAAGGGCAGGGCCTGTGGGTGTTTGGTGTGGCCAGGAGAGGCCGGGAGCCGCTGGCTGCACCCTCCTGCTCAGCAGGGATGGAATGTCAGCGCTCCACAAAGGGCCCTGGCTTTGGCCACGGGTGGATCTTCCTGCCTGGGCTGGAGCTGGTGGCCGTGGGTGTGGTGTCTGTGCTTTCCCTGCTGCCTGCTTGCTGGTGGTCAGTCCCTGTGTGACCACTGTGGCTGGTGTGGAGAGCGGGGGTTCTCCCACAGGATGTGTTGAGGTTCTTCCACGGGATGTGCCCTTTGGTGCACAGGATGCTCCGGGTGGGTGCCTTTCCAGGGTGTCCCATGCCAGCCAGGTCCTGCCTCACAGGGCATCCCAGAGATGTGGCTGTGCAGGGCTCCACGGGAGCTGCCCAAACCCAAACTGAACAGGGCTGAACAGCAAACACCAGCCGAGTTTGCTGAGCTGCATTCCGGGCAAACACCCAGTCGGGGTTCTGTCCCGCTTAAAACAGTGTAGAGGAAGCTTTTGATTTCTCCCAAATCAGCACTTAGACGCTCAGTAGATGTTCCCGGGACCGGCTTCTCGCTCCCGGAAAGCACTTGCACAATGACATGGACGCGTTTGACTCTAAAGCATCAAAGCACTGGATCGTGAGCCCCCTCCCCTCCGCCCGGGTCAATCTGCTGACTTACACTCGGTTTTTTACGTGCTGTATTGTGTGTGTGTGTGTGTGGCGGGGAAGGGGAGCGGGACCCTGCCCGCCGCTGCCCCCCTGGGCAGGAGTCAGCGCTGGTCACATAAGGGCAAAACCCTCTGCTCCTCGCCCATGGTCAGTAGTGTTCTCACAAAGCCATGAAACTTCTCTGTAGTGTTGAGTGATACTGTGACTAAAACGTTCTTGAATGATTCCGAGGTTCTTTTTTTCTCTCTCTCTCTCTTCTTCTGTCATTAATTCTTAGTACCACTTTGGAAGAAAAAAAAAAAAAGAATGAAAAAGAAAAAAAAGGCAGCTTTGATTTCCAAATGTGCAATTCACATGTGAACAAAGTAATTCTGAAAGTAATTCTCAGTGTATTTTACATTCTCGTTGCTCTCTTCAAAGCAAGAGATGTTTTGCCCTGATGTCATTTCCAGCCTGCAGAAGATGTAATTTAAAACATATATATTGTGCTTGCAAGAATCATAAATCTGTGCATCCTATGTCATTCCTTTTCCCATTGTTACAATACAGATATGATTTAGGTTGGATTTTTTTTTTTCCTTTAGACCTGTATAGTGTTTTTTTAAATCAATTGTAAATGTCTGGTTTTCATATAATGTTTAAAAAACATTGAGAAAGAGGATGGTGCTTGTTCCATATCATTCTTGATTGTATATTGCTTCTGTTATGTTTATAAGTAAACTGTGCATGACTTGTGTTTAGCAGTCATTATTGTGTCTGTTTGTGAAATTTTTATTAAAAAGAAAAAAATTCCGTAGATGCACTTATTGTATATGTGATTAGATTTTGCGTCCGAGGCTCGAAGCCTCGAACTGCCAAGGAAGAAAGAAAAAGTGTTGGCAGTTATTAATTAATATGGAATCGCTTTGTTGGGAGCATAATAAAAGATATGAAGTGTAGAAAATAATTAAAAAAAAAAAAAGGCGATTTTACAAATTTCATTTTGATGCTTGTGATAAAAGACAAATGTACTTGTGTAGAGAAATTCCTTTAAAATAATGAATAGAAAAAGCTGATTTTGAGGTTAATGCTGTAGAATAGGAATGTATACCAAATGTAATCTTTCCAATGCTACAATGAATTTATACATGAGATTGATATGCAATAAACCTGTGTGCTTTTATAAGCAGTGGTCCCATGAGCTTCTTTTCATGGAAGAGCACTGGAGATGCCCCACCAGAGCCAGTAAGGGCGTGTTGGGCCATGTCACAGCCTGGCTTTGCTGCTCGGTGCTCCCTGTGTGGTGTGATGTTGTGAGTGCATGGTTTGTAATACTTCAAAGAGCCTCAAAAAATCAAATTATGCCCCCCCGTGCTTGCTGCCAAGGTCAGATCACAGAACCACTGAGGCTGGAAAAGACCTCCAGGATCATTGAGTCCCCCCTGTGCCCGATGCCCCCCTTGTCCCCAGCCCAGAGCACTGAGTGTCACGGCCAGGCCTTCCTGGGACACCTCCAGGGCTGGGCACTCCACCACTGCCCTGGGCAGCCCCTGCCAAGGCCTGACCACCCTTTCCAGGGAGAAATTCCCCCTCATGTCCAACTTGACCCTCCCCTGGCACAGCTGGAGGCCGTTCCCTCTCCTCCTGTCCCTTGTTCCCTGGGAGCAGAGCCCGACCCCCCCCGGCTCCCCCCTCCTGTCAGGGGGTTGCAGAGCCAGAAGGTCCCCCCTGAGCCTCCTTTTCTCCAGGCTGAGCCCCCCCAGCTCCCTCAGCTGCTCCTGCTGCTCCAGCCCCTTCCCCAGCTCCGTTCCCTTTTCTGAACACTCTCCAGCCCCTCAATGTCTCCTGGAATGAGGGGCCCAGAACTGGGCATGGCCCTTGAGGTGTCTCAGCAGTGCAAAGCAGGTGCAGGTGGTGCTGCTGAGCTGTGCCACATCCCTCTGAAGGGATGGGAGCTTGCACAGGGAAGAGTAAGAACATTCCAGGGTGGGGGAATGAGTTGGGACGAGGCATCAGTGAGCTGTCAGAAAATGTCAAGAATATTTCCTTTCACGACTGGAGCGGAGAGTCAGTGAACTATCCAGTGATAGCGGTCAGATGGTTCAGCGGGGGCCCTGGGAGCAGAAATGACTTGAAAGCTGGGTCTTTGAGCTAACAACACCATTACCCAACTGATGAATGGCCTCTGCTTCAAAAAGTCATTCATGGTGATCAAATGATGGTGTCCCACATACGGGATAATGGCTCTTCCCTGGAGTTTGTGAGGGTTTCAGTCTGAGCTGAACCCTTGAGTGGGAGCCCTCTCCTCACAATGGCTGCTGGAGCTTTTCTCCTTATTAGCCCTGGAGGGAAAGGATAAAAAATCTATGGGATAAGAAAGCTGTGATAATAGAGTGATTGTCAGGCAGGCCTTGGAGCAGAGAGAACAGATTCTTTTAAAGGAATATTGCTGACAAGTGGACTTTGTCATCCAGAAAGTACTCGAGATTCACCACAAACAAGTGAGAAAAAGGCTCCATTTCGGCGGGGAGGGAACGGGGGGGGGGGGAAGGGGGGGGGGGGTAAAAGAGAAGGTCAAGGAAAAGTCTGTTCCCAGTACAGACAGAGAGCACTGTTGAGCCTGGCCTGACTGGGCAGCTGGGTTACCGGGCAGCTGTCAGCAGCTTGACCCTCAGATCCTCTTTCCCAGGAGCTGCAGCATCCGAAAGCATCCAAAACCGATGTTTCGTGCATCTGGAGGGACAGCCTGGGGTTACCTTTGAGCAATGAAGACTCAGCTAAAGCAAAGATCAGACGTGCCTTTAGCAAGGACCAGTCCCCAGGCTGCTGAAACACCGACTGTGTGTCGGTCAGACCCCGAGGACAGCAGGGTCACAGTCGTTTGTTGCCCACTGACGTGATGGGAGAACGACATCGAATAATCCCATCACCTGCAGTGACCTTGGAGAGGCGGCCTTAGGGGATGGGGAACGCTGAGAGTCCAGGGGCTGGGAGCGACGCTCCGTGCAAACACCTGCTTAAGACCAGTCACGAAGCAGCAAAACACAGTGAAGTTAATGAGTTTTTCACTCCCAGGAAGCAGGGGCGGGCCCGGGATAGGGCGCGGAAGGGAGCAGAGCGCTCCTCGGAGCCGGGACGTGCGGGGCACCGGCTGCAGGTGTGGGATCTGAGCGACCCCCTCGCCATTCCCGGTGCCTCCGGGGGCCGGCCCTGTCCCTCCCCAGCCCCTCCCCAGCCCTTCCCCGGTCCCGCCCCGGTCCCTCCCCGGTCCCTCCCCGGTCCCTCCCCTCTCCCGCCCCCGTCCCGTCCCGTCCCGCCGCCGCCGCGCTGGCTCCGAGGGGCGCGGGTAGGTGCGGGGCCGGGGGTCGGGCCGGGGCGCTGCGGCGGGATCGGGGACCGCGGGGAGGGACCGGGACCGGGACAGGGACAGGGGCTCCGGGGGCCGGGCGGGCGGCAGCCCCGGGGAGCGGCTGTCGGGCGCCTTCCGGGACCGGCACCGGCGCTCCCCGCCCGCCCCGCACCGCCCGCCCCGCACCTCCCGCGGGCAGCCGGGAATCCTCCTCCCGGGGCTCCCTCCCGGCTGCAGGGCGCGGGGCTCGGAGTCCTGCGGTGCCGGGGAGGTTTGGGCGCATCCCGGGGCTGTGTCCCGCCGTGCTCCCGGCCCACGGGGAGCCCTGCCCGCTGCACCCCAGCGCGGGGCACGCGGGGATGGAAGCACCGAGTTACGGGGCTGGGGCCTCGGCAGCCTGTGCCCATGTGCCGCCATGGGCAGGGTCATGGCGGGGTCGATGCCCTGCGTGGCCACCGACCCTCCACCCCAGCACCGAGAGCTGTGGATGCTGCAGCGCCCGGAGCCTCTGGAATCGGGGCTGTTTATAAGCTTTATCCTCAGACAGGATGGGGTTAAGAGCAGAATGTGGTGCTTGCCTCATCCCAGGACACTTGGCAGACCTCTGGCCAAGAGGCCTGTGTCCTGCATGCGAGGATGGGGGGAATGAGCAGCATCTCCATCAAATGAGCTGTTGTTAATGGGTCTGCGTTGTCCTTCTGCCAGTCATTGATGCAGAGAAATGCACGGTCCAGTCTTGGTTTGTTTCCTGGTCTGTGGCCTTTGAAAAGGAACAGCTCGGAGATGGCACACAATGGGGTCAGCTGAGGGCAATTAAACCATCGTTTCTCCTGAAATTATGCAACAGGATGAGTGTAAAATGTGCTGAGTGTTCCGTGGGTGCACAGTTCCATAGGTGCACGGTCCCGTAGGTGCACAGTGCGTGGGGTGGCACAGGAGAGGGTGAGTAAGCTTAGCCCTGGCCGAGAGCTTGGGGCAGTCAGGCAGGTGTTTTTGTGGGCGGTGTGGAGCTGCTCCTGGGAGCAGCGTGGGGCAGGTACGAGCCTGGAGGATCCCGGGGGTCACAGGGAGGTGCTGCCGGGGATTTCACAACACGTCAGCCTGGGGGAGGTGGAATTCAGGAAGGGGAGGGCTGGCCATGGTGGCTGGAGGCACCCCATTCCCAAAGGGGATTAAGGGGACACGGAGGTGTGGCAGCAGCAGCAGTGGGGCTCCAGGCCTGCCCGGCTGCTCGCTCAGGTCTGAGCCTGCCCGGTGCCTGCGGCAGGGCCTGGCTGCTCCCACAGCCCAGCCACATCCTGCTCCCTCTGCAGGAGTACCAGCCTGGGCCTGGCACCTGGGGGGCCCTGAGAGGTGCATGGGCAGAGAGAGCACCACGAGTGTACCCATACAGGCTCTGCCTGCAGAGCACTCAGGGAAGGCGCAGGCTGAGTCCTGTGCTGTCCTGAGGTTCCCCGTGGCTCAGCATAAACTCACACTGCCTCATGGGAGGTGTTCAGCTGTCTGTCTGTCTGTCTGTCTGTCTTCCTCAGCTCTCTGGTTCCCTGGGCCGCCGCCATGTCCCGGAGCCCCCCTGGCAGCTCTGTGGATGACAAGACCTTTCTCCTGGAGTACCGATGCCACCCCGTGCAGCCGGAGCCCCCCAGCCTCGCCATTCCCCCCGGGAAGCACAGCTCCACCAGGGCGCCCGCCGCCGCCTCGCTCTCGGTGCTGGGCTCTCCCCCCTCGGCCGATCCCCGCCGCATCATCCTGAGCACGGACAGCCCGGCCGCGCTGAAGGTGGGAACCCAGCAGCTCATCCCCAAGAGCTTGGCTGTCTCCTCCAAGCCCAAGAACAGCCCCTCCCGACACCAGAGCTTCGCGGCGTCTGGGGCGAACCGGGAGCCTCTGAGCCCCGACCCGAAGCGGGCGGTCGTCCCCATCGTCTCCCTGGAGGCGGAGGATGAGGAGGATGGTGGAGGGGCCCTCAAGCGCAACCTGAGGAACATGTCCTACCGCGCGGCCATGAAGGGCCTGGGCGCCGAGCCGGAGCCAGCCAAGGCCGTCCCCTCGCTGAAGCCCCTGTCAGAGGAGGGCAGTGCCCTGCCCGACCGCAGCCCCGGCAGGAACAAGGTGGGTTTGGCACCCGCTGTCACCCCATTGCTGTCAGGCAGAGATGGGGTCCCGCTTTCCTGGTGCTGCCAGGGGATCTGCTGGGTCTTTCTCCCACAGCTCTGGTCGGTCATGGAGCTGGCAGGCCCTGCTGAGCCTGGTGACGTGACTGCTGCCTTGGGAAGCTCCATGTCACCATCAGGTGCTGCAGGTCCCTGGAGAGCTGGGAATAGCTGCCATGGCTCTCATGAGGAGTGGAGCTGGCTGCTCCAGGGCCACTTGGCAGGCGGCTGTGGGATGTTTGCAGGGTGGGGCTCAGGTGAGCAGCTCTAGTTGTACACAAACATGGGTGAAGCAGGTCTGGGGAAAGGGAGACTCCAGAGCAGGCAAAGTCCAGGTGCGAGGGAGAAGTGACAGGCAGCAGTGTAACTGCAGAGTGTGACCCTGATAACGCGAGGTGAAGGCTGAGTCACCTGGGGAAGGCAAACAGAGCTCAGACAAAAACCAGGCTGAAAGAACAGGGTGGTGTGGGCTGACTGGCACAGGTAACTACCCCCGTTCCTGAAGGAGTTTTCCCAGGGACAGAGAAGTTGCAGTAACCACAGCATGTTCTCCTGTTCCCCTTGCAGAGAACCCTTGGGCGGAAGCGGGTGCAGAAGCGCGGCGGCTCGTTCAAGGACCGTGAGTGCTGCGGGTCCCCTCTGCTCGTGGGGCTCTGGGCCCTGCTCAGCGAAGCAAATCCCTGCAAGGCCCTTTCCCATGTGTGCTGCTGCTTGTCCCTGGCCTGGGGCCATAGCTTTTGTGGAGCATTGCCACCCTGCTTTCCCGCTCCTGGGGTGGATGACACTCCAGTGGCTGCCGTGCTTGCAGCTGGACCGCTCCCAGCTCAGTCCCAGGGAAAATGGGAGAGCTGCATGCGGTGCCCTGACTGCAGGAGGCTGCTGGGAGTGGGAGCTGCTGGGTAATCAGTGCTGTGCAAAGTCCAACCTCGGCAGGGAGGTGCCAGCCCGGGCTCGTGGCTGGCGGGGCGAGGCGGCCGTGGCCGAAGGGAAGCCGTGGGCCGTGGCTGGGAGAGGCTGTGCTGACCTCTTGCCTCTTCCTCTGCAGAGCCCCGGCTGTATCAGGAGATCCGTGAGAGAGGGCTGAACTCTGTCAGCCATGAGTCAGACGAGGATTTGCGGGAGGAATCCATCCCAGAGGAACCATCCCCTCTGGGTGCTGCTATCGTGGTGCAGAGCTACCGCCCGGCGCAGGTGACCTGGAGCCAGCTCCCAGAGGTAGGGGCAGCTGCCCAGCCCAGAGGGGCTGAAAGCTGTGGGGGCATAATTCCACAGCTTTAGTCTTTGCAA